TACGCAGCATATTGAGGCCATCAAAATTACCATAATAATAACAACTTGCCTGCATTTGACAGTGACAAATCTAATCAATTGTACTTTTTTTTTTTACCGCAAAGAATTATTAACATTTTGATTGTGCAACGAATAAGAACTTAGAGCGGTTCGTTCACAACTCAACTTAATTTTTTTTAAGTCGAGCTTAAAATAAAACCGTTTATGTAAATTGACATCCGAACGTACTGTGGTCTCAATTTCGAATTCATCTATCGTAAAGTATAAATAAACGTTCCGCAGTCACCTATCTTATTATATTCGATACACACAACTCGTCCACAAAGGAGGAAGTTTTAACACCATCAATAATATCATTTTAATCCTTATTTTTATTTTTAATATGGGCTACAACTTTCATACATTTTTCAACGAAAGCAAAAATCCGATAATCAATCACGTATTTTTTTACTTAATATTTAAAGAGAAAAAGATGATTATATTTTTAAACGCCCTGTTTATTTTTTACACGACTATGCTCTTTAAAGATTCTACTTTGGTAAATATAACAATCATTGTCCGATATAACGAGTTAACATTAAAATCCTCCACCCTTGTAACTACACTACCACTAATAGTAGCACTACGTATATGGATGATATCTTTAAAATACTAGAGTTATTGTCACTATTATCATAAATTCACATCGTATTTAGAAATAAAACATAGTAAATCATGGTAATACCAACATTTAATATTATATTTATATTATCAAGGTCAAAAAATTACCCATTGAAAATCAGAAGAATGCTATCTATATTATACCACTTAAAAAGACGCTATTATTGGTTATTTTATGCAGTAACTACAATAAATGTATATTATAATTTATCATAAAAAAACTTCAACTTGAACGAAATTAAATAAATGTAAAACAACTTTCTACGGCGTGCAAAAACTGTATCAATACCAAATACCTCTGAAAATTTAATTTAATTTATATACCATCCCAACTGTTTTACAGTACTTAAATTGGCAAGGACATTTTTGTTATGGGTTGACGATTACCCAATGGTCTACATCGCCAATATTAGTATCCTATTAACAGTTTTGTCACCAAAACATAATTTATATGATAAATTAAATATGATCGTGTTTTATTATTTGTGAATGAAAAACGTTCAATCACAAGACAAATAAATTATTAATGTTCCAACGACTATGTCGATGAACTAAGTCATAAGTGTAAACCAAAACCTCAAAATAATTTATCTTCTTTAGTTACCTTACCGTCTTAGTGAACAATTATTAGTTGTTACTTTTAACATTTATATTCTTCTTTTACTTTACTTCAGTAAATTTATTACCTTGCAAATTTATAATTTATACATAATGATAATGATTATAAAATAATGACAGGTAAAATAAATTTGATAAATCTGCAGTTGCTTTTGCACAATATAGTTTTCCTTTTTAATGACAACTTGGATTGAAGGAACACAAATACTATATAGGTATACCTATTACATACGATAATGCGATTTAAACAGCTACAAGTTACGAGTTGTATGTTAATATAACATTTTAATGTGATTTTTATTGCCTCCAACAAATAACCTACTAATTATTTAACACATTCAGAAAAATACAAATCATATTGTACTTAGTTAAAACGTGAAAATATTGTAACATAAATGAAAATATGTAGGAAATACAATTTTAAAATTTAACCTTTGAAAGAGCGCACAGCTGTAATTATGACTTTTTGAAAAATAAAAAATAAAAAGATATTTTTCAGAAATTTTCTATTTTTATTTTAACTGTTTGCTTTCATTGCCTATATAATACTCAAATATATTACTTTTAACTGTATGACATTTTTTTTTTAAATGTGTAGGGTTGGGTTTTAATATAAAAATGCATGTTATACACACGTCAATATTTTTGATTAAAAAAAAACTTTTTACTTAACATAATATGGTTAAATAAAATTGTATTGATTTTCTATTTCTGAAAATGTTGAGCATATCTACTCGAAAGTGTTTTTTATCCGTGCAAACGAGATTTTAAATTCAATTTTTTTTAGATGTTTTATTCAAATTTATGGACTCATTGCTAATCACAAAAATTTAATAAATAAATTAAAGGACATATACTTTTATATATATTTATTAACTGTGACTTAAATGAATAAATTCATCATTATATTGATCTAAGTAATTGTCCAGGACGGTATTCCAACCCTATATCCAGGAAACTTAACTAATTTTTATTGTAGAACTTCACGATTGTCTCCCTAATACTTGTATTACAAAACGTTTGTAAATTTTAGATTATTTAATCAAGTTCGGCCCATCCAAATTTTTTAAAATAAACTAGTACATTGAGCAAGAAAAAATTTCAGATATTTTTTAAAATATATCAATTAAAATAACTCGGATATTTTCTTCAAAAACTTGAACTTTATATAACAGCCTTTAAAATTAGATGTTTCATGTATGATTATTAGAACTTATTTAGATTTTGATTTATCCTTATTATAAATTTAATTACATGACCGACATCAGGGATGTGCCCCCCGATTAATAAAGGACACCTCGACATTGCTTCGCACAAGGTTCCATGATTTCTAACGCCGATACTGATCAAAAAAGTATAAAATAGAAACTTGTAGTCGCCTAAAGAATACCTGTATTCGTAATGTCAATTTTTAAAATGGTATCAATTAATTAAATTAAAATATTATGACAAGAATAATTAAATGTTTTAATCACATAATATTTATTTGACATACCACGTGTAATTAACTACATTAAATTAATAACAATAGGGTAAATGTTGAGATCACGCAAAGAGATAATACATTTTATTTAAATTAAACTCAAGGGTGTTTACCTGCTAAGGCGGTAATAGTTATTAATTTTTTGTGCATATCAGTTTAATTACAACATTATAGAACTCCAAACTTTTATACGTCCCAACATTTAAACAAAAGTATATGGTAAAAAAAATAATTAGAGCAAAAAAAGTTTCATGAACTACAGTAGTAAATTATATTGCTTGTCGTATCCCAGAGACCAGATGTCGTATGCGGTTTTAAAGTTCATACACTATATTTTGTTATTATTAAATACTATTAAATTGACAAATTATTAGATTTTTCATGGAAGACAATGATAGTATACATAAAATATATTTAAAAGTATAATCCAAGTTCATTGTTTTTATTGAATACATACAAATTTTAAAATTAGCTATTTAACTTGAAAATTGTTTAAATTTATGAAATTTAATATTTTATTGCTAGTATAAAAGGCAATTTAAATGAATTTTTATTATTACATCATTTTTATTATTAACTTCCCACTTAACTTCAATTGATCCCTTGAAGATATTTAACTTTATGTATTAAAAAATTCAACAATATAACCTGAACATAAGCAGTATTATTCAGCCATTTTCTGATAATATTCTAAAATAAATAATAATTTACAAAAACAACGAACAAAGAAAAAAATCAGTATTTTCACTTAGCCATAAAATTTTTCTGGCATAATGGCCAATACATTAAAACTATTTTTTTTGCAAATAATTAATTATTAGTATTAAAAAAATTGTTACAATGGAAAAAATTATTCATGATTATGAGAAAGATTGCATTGAAAAAACTTTAATGAAATCATTAATCGAATAGTCATTTAGATCTGCGGTTTTTCTTTTTAAATTCTATTGTTAATTAATAATAATAATAAGATAATCAAATTAATCATGGAGAATAGGGTAAATTTATTAAAAAAACTTATTAGCCAATTATTACATTGTTGAATTTATTCATTGTTTAAAAAAATATAATAATAAAAATTATTCTAAACTTTTATTAGATAAATTACAATAATTTATTTGAACTTTTATTTATGAAAAAATAGCTTCTGAATAAGCCTCTATACGCATATTAAAAGCTAATAAAATCATAAAAAAATCTAAACGTTTGTACCCCAAAAAAAAAACAGTAGTTTACAAGTAATTAAGTATAAAGTACTAATAATAACTAGGTTTCCATTATACTTGTGCATTATTTTATGTAGATATATATAATACGCATAATGAACATCGGAACGTTTAAAAATTTAGTGTTAAAATAATGAAAAATATATATGTGCATATCAAAAATATACAGAGTGTTCAGTAAGTAAAGAAACAGGTAAATTATTACAAAAAATGAGAACAATAGAAACCGGTTTCCTTACTTACTGAACACCCTATATAATTTCAACGACATCAATTTTATTATTAGACAAAAAATAGTTAAGCAAATAAATTGATACAGGACCGAAAAATGTTGATAGAAAGTTTTTTTTGGTCTCATACTATAAACTAAATGATCAAAAACTGAGCTAATTATTGCCCAACAATATATAAATTGCATTCTCTATCTTTAAATAGAAGTGACATATTACATCAATTTTTTTTCGACCGTAAATTGGTTAGAATAATACTACTAGGCTTCATTAATTATTATTATTTAGCCATGTTTCCGTAAACAAAATATTTATTGTATCAACATTTTTAACAATTCAACGATTCATTTTCCTATAAAATTGCTATCATAAGTGTAATTTTTTTAAAATATTTAAATATATGTATGCTAAACAAATGCATAAATTATTATACAGTAATAATATAATTTCATAAATCTTACAAGTAATTTTAAATAACATGTAAAATTTTCCATCATAATTAAAAATAAATAATAGCTGATACTGATTCTTTGTTTTTCTATTAAATTTCCAATTAATTTTTTTTTTTTTAAGTTAATCTATGTGTCAATTATTATTAAATTAAATCGCTCTCAAAATTAGAAAAATAATGAACTATGATCTTTTTTAATCACACAATTAAAATATACAAGTAACTTAATTTTGGAATACTAAATATTTCGTAGTACATTATGTCGTATCTAATATTAAAAAATGTATTATTCATTTTCTCCACTCAAAATCTTTTTAACAATTTTTACCTACCGTTTGATTCCTCGTATCCCCAGTCAACAGTCATTTTGTTCTAGTTAATAAAAAGTAAAATAAAATACTTGTTTTATTGATTATTGATCCGTCGACAACCTCTCCACACTTTTTGAACGCCGGCCGCAAACTGATTATTGATAGGCAAGAACTAGTTGGTTCATGGATACTCGTGGTAGGGCATACGGTCACCGATGTATAAAAACTGGAATTGTGTACTCTTTAATAGTTCTATTGGTGGGGGAACTGGGTTTATTATATGCAAACGCACATAAAGTATACTATAGGGCAACAGTACGACGCTTATAGGTGTGTGAGTGTGTAACTACTGTGGCATTATCATTGCTGGGCCGGCCTGCAATTATTCAAACAGCACATAGTGGGGACGTGAACGCACGTGGTTTCACTACAACAGAATTTTTTTGCGTCTTACCAACTCATTTTAACTTTTCTGTATTTTGGTGAATTTAGACCACGATCTTATATCATAAGAATCTAAAGTGTTTCGAATTGAGGATACTTAGGTTTCAAAGACCAAAAAAATATTTTTACCCATTTATAAATAAATAATCATGTATAACATTGTATACAAACATATTTTTCCCCACCACTAATATTTCATCTATGAAATCGAAAAGGAAAATGTTATTGTCTAAATATAACACACGTACTACACTAATGACATAGCACACTCATAATATTAAAGATAATATTAAAAAAAAAAACAGTAATTATTTATACAATAATTGAATAAATTATTTTAGTTTTCCTTACAAAATTTAATGCAATGGTGAAATCTGCTTGGGGTGCTAATTTGTCAAGGACCCTCTATTTGCATCTAAGCTCATAATGCAATGTTCTAATTTTGCATTATATTATTAAAAATCATGTGTTAGCTACTGAGTCCAGCCTGGATCATCAAATGCAATCTAAGAACACTATTTTTATGTAACAAACATATAACAAAATGTTCAACTTAGTAAATTATACTATTATATTACTTTCTTAAAAAGTATATAAATATTCAAATAAATGTATACATATATATGATTGAAAGAAGTTACAATGTATTTAAAAATCTATCTAGCATCTTTTGCTTGAATTATTCGCCGAGCTGTTCAAACACAGAGATCCTGGTATAAATAATGGTAGGTTCCTTAATATAGATTTTTAACTATTTGACATATAGTCACGGTGTGGTGAACTGGGTTTCTAAGTCCAGTTTCAGCCAGTCGGAAGAGTACCAATAGGAAGAGTCAAAGTAAAAATACAATGTAACATTCACTATGAGTACTGATCAATTTATTTGTGTTCATGTCCCTTTTTATATTTTAAGAAACATGATTAATTACGAATTAATACAAGGTTAAGACAACATTTAAAGTAAACAAAACACCATTAAAATATAATCTTTAAAATCTAATTTAAAAGACTATTAAGTATTGCTACATATTTCAAGATGCCGTTCACGACAACGGTAAGCATACACAATCCACTCTCAGTTCTGTTAAAATTAACGGAGGCAAACAAAGTAAAAAAGATTTTCACATATAAAAATATATTCTTTAATTTGAAGGGTACAATTACATTGACTAGAAACTACATTGTAGCTTAAATTTAATCATATGCTCACTCATAAAAAAAAAAAAAAAAGTTGTGTTAAAATAAAATAAAAATAAGTATACTTGAAATTATCCAAATTATGTTACTTATTTTCTATGTTAAAAATGTTTAGTTTAATAAATAATTGCCTATTATTTTTAAATTAAATATTGTAACTATTTTCATTTATTTATTTGTATTCTTTTTACTTAAACTTTTATCAAATTTAGTTAATTTACATCGACTACATTGCCGATACATACAGAATACTTTTATATAACTTAAAGTCAAAGTGATACGTTGATTAAACTGCCAATAAAATTTGACACAATAGATAAATTAGGTATAATCCCACTAAGTTATTAATAGTCACACCAATTACAATACTATACAAGTTCTTTATCGGTTATTATTTGTTTAAAAATATTATGTCCGAATATGCAAACTATTTGTATATACTGTAAAAAACTAAATAATGTTAACTATACTATTTTAGTTCAATGCGAAGTTGAGCAGGTATTAATTTTACTATGATATATTTTATTTTATTTTTTGACTTTGTTAACATTTATTCACATCTTTATAATATGAACTGTTTTTAATTTCTAAAAAAATGTACAAATAGGTGATACAAGTGGAGGCCGCTGTTATTAGGTTATTTTTTACAAAATAGTTATATGAATTTAACTTACACTAGATATTAAGTTTTTTTTAATATTTGTGTTTATTAAGTCGAAATAAACGACTTAAAAATTTGGAACTATCTTAAATTGTTATTTTTATCTATCAACAAATGTGATGTACGATAGCCGGGCCAAACAACATAGATATGTTTCATACAAAATTTATATTGACAGGTATCAAACTCTAAACTCATTTATAGAATTCATAAAAAAAACAATAACACAGTAGTAGGGACACAACAGTTAAGATAAATAGTAGATCATGTAGATTGATGGTTTCAAGATTTATTTTATGTATTAATTGATACTCGGAGCAAATTAAAAAATATGTGAGTTGATTCTCAGTACACACATGAGTTCATTTCTACACTTTAGCTAATTAAAATGTTATGAATTTATATTTTTTTTTATTTGTAAATACTCATTTTTTACGAATAAGTAATAATCTTAAAATAGAAGTGTTAAATAAAAACTAATTGGAGATTTGAAATTGGTGCGAAAATGGGTTTAGAAAAGTAAATAGATCTCTGATGAAAATTCTTGTAAACCAGTGTATTTATTCATAATTATGAATTGTTAATTATAATTAACAAACAATTATTTTTTGAAATTCTGACCTTCAATTTTGATTTTTGTTGTCATATAAGTAACGAAATATACAACTAATTTATAATTATTTATAATTTCTCTGTGAAATTAAAATATTAAATTATTGAATATTACTTTTATACTAAATTTTCCTTTTATCGGACATATTTTTTGTTTTTGTTATAATCCACTAACTACTTCAAATTAAACACTATCTACAGATTTGAATCGATGCATTTCTTATGATAATGATTTTAATTACTGTAAGATATCATCTATACTTATACTATTTCCAACTGTTTTTAACTGTCCCAACGACTCCACTGTACTACCGTTTTTTTAGTAATTAAATTCTGAAATATTTCACAAAATTGTGAAGTAGTGTTTTTTTTGTGGTTATTTTAAATATCATTAAAAAAAAGATAAAATAATTAATATTTTATACAAAAGACTATTGTAACAATGGCCTACTTAGAAATTTTGTATGGGGAATCTGAACAGTTTTCAGAACGTAAAATAGTTGAGACGGGTATAACATCAATCTACTACCCACACTACTATTGTTTTATGCCTGTTTAAATTATAAAGGAGTTTTACTAATGAGATGTTATGCTAAAAATAATAAGTCGTATATTATAGGATTTGTGTTTATTGAGAGTCTAGATTATTTGAATCTCAACAGGTACAGTCTTGGTTTATTCTAATAACACTAGTTACCCGCTGTTCTTACCACAAATACACTTTATCTAAACCACAGATGACTATGTCCACTTTGATAACAACATAACATACACTCTGTGAACTAAAATAAAATAAAAATTTGTTGCAATTTACACGATGATTATTTTAACTTTGACCAAACATTTAAGTGAGAGCTACAGTAACTATAACTCCCACTTAAATATTTTATTAGCGTTTTAAGTATCTTAGTGGTTATATTTTTGGTTTATACCTTAAAATAAATAGTTATAAGTGTTTAACTTATCAATAATTTTAAAATAAACGGCTAATCATCAAATAATGAAGTGTATGATAGAAATTTTAATTCTGGAATTAAAATTCAGTGACTAAAGATTATAAATTATCTTAGACTATTTATTTAAAAAAATAAATCATTTGCAATGATATCAAAATAATGTTATTAAACAAACGTAACTATTTAATATTTTCTTATCGAATTTAGTCTATCTTGATAAATTAAAAATGGAAAAATTACCAATTTGTGTTTGTACAAAAAATGAATGCGAAAAAAAATCAAAATATTTGACTGTCAATAAATTGGCCCAAATTAAGTTATGTATTAGTAATATTATCGAATTGGATCTTAGCTCAAGTAAACTTAAAGAAATACCAGAATTCATAGAGTCTCTTGAAAAACTGACAAAAATTAATTTTTCATCAAATGAATTATCTCAACTTCCTACTTCTTTTGTCAAATTGAATCAATTAACTTACATAAATATATCTTACAATTTATTTTCAAAACTTCCTGAATGTATTATCAGTGGAATTTCATCTTTAGAAATACTTGATATATCTCACAATTTATTAAATAGTATTAATTTTAAGCCTTTAAGCATTAATAATTTAAAAATACTAAACATCAGCAATAATCCAAATTTATCTAGTTTTCCACAGTGGTTATGGTCACCTGAGTGTAAATCTTTAAAATCCTTGGATATATCATTCACAAAATGTTTAGAAAACTTAGAACCAGATCCTTATATGAATATGTATGGCATCGCTAACAATTTAAGTTACCTTAATATATCTAATACCAATTCACAAGCTCATAACTTAGAGTTTATAAAACACTTGAAGCATTTAAAAAATGTTATATTTGATAATATTGAGTCATTAAGAAACAACGGCAACTATTTAAATGATATCCCATTAATTTTCAATTATCGTTTTAAATTCGTTACTTCTTTGAGTATGAAGAATATAAACTTATCAAGTATAAGGAAAGAAATATATTTTATTTTGCCCAATTTAGTTAACCTAGATTTATCAAAAAATGAAATTTTCTCTTTGCCAGAAACAATCAGCAAGATGACAAATTTAGAATTTTGTGATTTTTCTGACAATCAAATACTATCAGTACCAGAATGTTTTAAAAGTTTGAAGAAAATGAAAAAAATGGTTTTAAGTTGCAATAATGTATTTTTCATTAATTATTTTTGTTTTATTGTTTTTAGATGTATTGTAATTTTTTGTTGTAGCTATCAAAATTACCTAATATTTTTGATGATATGATAGATTTGGAATGGCTAGATTTATACAATAATAAACTAATTACTTGTCCATCTTTAGACAAAAACTCAAATATAAAGTTCTTGGACTGCGAACAAAATAATTTTTCTGTTAAAAATGTGAGTATTAGATAATTTATACTTTTTATTTTTTAAGTAAAAAATAACCAAAACAGAATTTTTTCTCCCCCTGAAAAATCATTAAATAAATTAAATTTTACCTTTAATTCATTTGCTTCTATTGTATCTTTGATTTTTATGTTTAACTACATTGTAGCTTAAATTTAATCATATGCTCACTCACAAAAAAAAAAAAAAAGTTGTGTTAAAAAAAAATAAAAATAAGTATACTTGAAATTATCCACATTATGTTACTTATTTCCTATGTTAAAAATGTTTAGTTTAATAAATAATTGCCTATTATTTTTTAATTAAATATTGTAACTATTTTCATTTATTTATTTGTATTCTTTTTACTTAAACTTTTATTAAATTTAGTTAATTTTTGTTTGTCGAGGCTTGTGATTTTTAATATTTGTACAAAAATAACATATATTGACCATAATTTGTCAACACAATTTTTTTTTTTTTTTTTTTTTTTGGTTTATTTTACTGATGATTCGTAACACACATTTTTTTTTATTTAAAATAAAAACTATTCAATTTTTATGTATTTCTGTTATTTTAAAAATATTTAACAATTCACTTTTTATATATTTTTGGTTAATAAATTAGATTCTTTTTTTATGTTAATTAAATTATTCTTAATTTATTTAGAAATTTTATAGAAGACTTCTAGATAATTTACGCAAAGAATTAGTTCAAAATAATCGTTTAATTGGTCGAGTGAGTATTGATGAACCAGATGTCTTAGATTCAAATGAGTTTAATGATAATAGTTCTTCTAGTGAGTTTTAGTAATATAATTTGTAAATTTTAAGTATATAGTTTTAAAACAATTGTGATCAAATTGATGAACAACTTATTTATTTTAATTGGATATAATATTCTTAAAGTAATATAACATATTACTTTGAGAATAAATATATAATTATATTATAATAATAATTAATATATAATAAATATGTAATCTTTATTGAAATTATGATATATCTGTATTTCCAAAGTAATCGGGCCTAGGTTAATTGAAAAATAAAAAATATATAATTTAAAGTTTTTATAATAACATGCATAGTATAAAAAATCCCAGAATTATTCTTTTTGGTTTTAAATATACAATTATGTTATTGTTGTTCAATGATATTTAGTTCTGATCAGATGGTAATGGAACTGCCCGCTAACCATTCCCAAATTACCACCCATAGTTTTAGTAGAATAAAAGGGACTTTCTGATACATTTCTTCAATACTACCCTTTAAATTCAAATTGAACCTATATAAGTAAATATATATTACAACTCACACACTTATTTCTATCAAAACCCAAAGCAGAAATTAGAATTTCTCATTAGTAGTACTGCAAACAAATATATATTTTAATGCGTCCTAGAAAATTTTATTTAGGGTGATTTAGGATCTATTAATTGCAGACATTTCTTATGATTTGTCTCTATTAATATAAAATAAATAGTAAAATATTATTTTAATTTCCAAGTGGCCATTTTTAAAGGCTTTTTTTTAAACAAATGTTGAGTGATCAATAAAAAATTTTAAGATAATACTTATTGAGTTACAATTATTTTAATCCTGAAATGGAAACTATCATATTCTTAGACTCTATGTGTATTTTATTTAAGGGCCTACGAATAGCTTAATCTAACTCATAATCATAGGCAAGATGCCAGCTTTATTGTGTAATTGAATAACTAGTGTAGGTTCTACTCCTTGGTATTAGCCACTTTTATTATTACATTATTAGTTCAGACATTCATGTTGCTATTGCAAAATTGTTTCTAAATAAAGACTTAAAAATGACTAAAAGATTTATTAATAATATTTTAAATGTTCAGTAAATCTTCCTTAATAGAGAAAAATACAGAAAAAAATCTTTGAAAAGTTCTTGCGATAAAAAAATTATAAAAAATAAAAGAACATAATATTAATAAATGTTTTTTGTTTTTATTTCTATAATTTATAATAAAATTAGAAATAGTGATAGAAGTTTTAATTGGAACTCATACTCTTATAGATATATTTTTATATTTAAATTTAAATACTTTTAATTAATAAATGATTTTTTTTTAGGTAGTCTATATTCTACAACGTTTAATAGTTCTACATCTTCTATTACTGATAATTTTATAGAGTAAGTAAAAGCATAGAATTTTATCCATTCTCCTTTATAATTTTTTTAAATTTTAAAATTGTAAACTGATAACAAGATTTCATGCTAATGAAGTTTTTGTATAATGACTTATGTAAAAACTATTCTATATTATCATTTGAGCAAAACAAACATCTAAAATCATATATCCAATGCTCGAATTGTGGGGGGGGGTGCGCAGGGGGATGTAGCTCCTCTACTTTTTTTTAAATTTTTTTGCGCACCCCAACTACTTTTTTTTATTGGGACGGGAGGACAGTGGAAAATACCACCTCTTTTTTTTTTTTTTTAAATATTAGTATGATAATGAAATATGATTTATTAATAAATACTAAATAAAGTAATGAGTAAAAAAAAAAGGTCTTCAAAATACTAGGGACGCAGTTTTCAAATTGTTAAGTTGAGCTCCCCTACTTATTTTTGGCCAATTCGAGCACTGCATATATCAAATACATATCAAAAAGTGATGGGATATTCCCTTAATATTTTGATCTATATTGTGTATAGAAATTTATTTTAAGAAATTTGACTTTTTGAAAATAAATGTTAAAATTAGGTTAGAAAAAATAAAATTCTGAACTATACTTCTTTCTCTGGTTGAATACTTAATTTTTAGCTTCGATGCGAAGCTGAGAAGGTATTGGTTTTACTAAGATGTGTTTTTTTTTTTATTTTATTTTTTTTTTTTTTGTTTCTGTATATATTTTTTTGTAGGTTCTAAATATTATTCGTTAACGTCTACACACAGTGCGGTTATATAGTTATGNGAAAATGGCTACCGAATGCTATTTTCGTGTGAAAATTCTCGATTTTATTATTCATATTATATTTAACTTTATAATGCTATAACTTATTGAAAAGTTTATGGATCCACACAATTTTTTTATGAGAAATAATATTTTTTAGTAAACCCTTTTTCATTCGACATACTTTATCTTAATCGAGATATTAAGGAACCAGCAGATCAAGTAACTTTTGGAATAAAACACCAATTTTTTTAAAATTAAACACTATCTACAGATTTGCATCAAAGCGTTTATTTTTGATAGTGATTTTAATCACTGTCAGATATCATTATACTTGATCCAACTATACCACGTCACAACTGTGCCGCGACCCCCCTGTGCTGGGTTTTTTTTNGTGCCGCGACCCCCCTGTGCTGGTTTTTTTTATACTTTATCATATACTAAATAATATTTATTTTTTTATGAATTTGAATATTAGCTCAAATTTTGTTGAAGATCTCTGGGAAGAAAATAATTATAAAGTATTTTCTGAAGAATTTGATCCTAAAGGTAAAAATTAAAATCGAGATTTTAGTTTTTATTTATTTGATCTTTTATATTATTAATATATATATATATTGATTTATTAACTGTTCATTTTTATTTTGAAATTCTAGATTTTGAACAAAGCCTTAAAGAAGAATTATCAAAAATTAAACTAGTAAACAATGAAAAAAGATCTGTAATAAAAAATCAAAGTATTCATTTTGGAATAGAACATTATTTTCGTCCAAGTGATGATCACTCCAAAATATCTTATAGAACAAATTATAATTTAATGAAATAGTTTTTTAAATTTAAATTTATAATGTAGTAATACAAATTCTATTAATAGTTTAATAATTATTATATTAACACAAATACTTACAAAGACTAAAATTTTTTGTTAAAAAATATTTAAAATTTTATTGTAAAAAAAGTTATATATATATATATATACACATGTGTTGTGTGTGTGTATACACCATGTATATTCTACTAAAATAATTTGTAATAAATGTCTAGTTATAAAAAATGTTTTTAAAATAATTATAAAACTTTTTTTATCAAAAATAAATTAAATATTTCTACAATTTATACATGTGGATTACAAAAATATACTTAAATTGAATAACACACTCATGAAAGTATTTTGTAACAGTTTTTTTTAGCATACTTTTCACCTTATTCATAATTTTTCATATATTATTTCCAGTTACTATATGATTTTTTATGTGTATTGTAAGAACACTTATTACTACGTACTTACCACTTATGTTATACACGTTTTATTTACATTTACTTAATTTGTAATGCATATTAATTAGCATAGAGGGAGATGCTGTTGTGACAATTTACTCGTCTGCATCCCGTAGCTACTGACGTCGAACTAACAAAAGTTGTATTTGTGTGTCTGTTATAGACAGTTTTTCAAAACTTTCACTTTTGTCTTATTTGTATAATTAATACTCAACTTATTTTGTTCAATGACTCGTCTATCACCAATTGTCATCATACCCAACCAACTCCGTCTCACTTGGATATACCTACTAACCAACTGTACTAGGATTGAGGTCAGACGTATTGTACATTGCATATAACTTACAATTACTGAACATCTAAAATATAACTTTACTTTGTCGTTGACCTAAAATAATAGTTTAACTTTATTATATAACCTCTCTCCAGTAACTAAGGTACACGATTGTCTGTGTCTCTTTCAAGTAATTAAAACTCATTTAAGGAGATAAGGACAATATTTGAGGAGACGTCGGGTAGCTTTCGATTCTTGGTTTTGACCAAGATCTTCAAGTATTAAACAAACCCCTAACAGCATTTTCAATTTGTTTAATATCTTAATAATTGCTAAGTCAAATAATTTTATTGCAAAGAAAATGTATTATTATTTTCCTATTTTATTTCTTTATATATTATTTTCAATATTTACATAAAAAAATTGTTTGTTTTTTCTCTTATGTATAATAAAAATTGATTACTTTTAGCTAATATTGTCAGGTGACATAGATGTTTATTTTTTAATAATATGATTATTTATAATCTAGTTATTTTTAAAGTCGATAAAAATAACGGTAGCCCAGTGAGGTTACGACACAGCGTGGACGTGGTATAAATAGTACAAATATAGATGATATCTGACAGTGATTAAAATCACTATCATAAGTGTTTGGTACAGAACGTCTTTAACAAATATCTAGTAGATCAGTTGTTACAAAACATCGTTGATTATATTATATTATGTGGCAGCTGATCTCCAGCGTCTTGCTTTACTTACCCCCTTGCTAACCCAGCACGGCAATTCGATGATCTCCGTGTTAATTGTCATCCGTGTACAGTTTATCGTCGTAAGTCAGAAAGTCAATATAATTATGTGTTATTCTTCTCTGTAGCAAGCGCCTTCGCTTGAACGGTAAATTGTACGCCATTATTTTTTATTATTTGTTTGTTGCACCCTTGTATTCAAAGTTCTTGTGCCCTTGCACTCCACCAGTTATTGGGCCCTGACCATCACTAAATATCTTCATTCCCGTAGTCGCTTTTCCGCCGTCTGTTCTCGTCTGCCATTACGTGCCTTGATCTACACTTTGACTCGTGATACTCAAATGTTCGACACCATTACCACATAATCTCATACAGTCCACTCATCACTATCAACAACTTCATCTATTCAGCTGAGTTTATATTATTTTTTAATGTTATTTCAATTGAGTCTAATTATTTTGTTTTATGCCGCTTCGCCGGCCATTAGTATTTAAGGGCCCCCGTTACCTCTTAAATTTAAAATACTCTTTGAAGAACTTCTAACATATGTGGTTATTTGTTATTTAATTATTGTCTATTCTCGTTACTTATTGAATGTACAGTTAGCCGTCATCCCTCAGGTGACCCATTCCCGCTTCAATAATTGCGATTTAAACAGGCTTAAGATTTAACGGCATTCTAGTGCGTTGTACAACTAGCCGACATACGGTCTAGCTGTCTCGTACAAAACAATAAGAAATGCTTCGATGCAAATCTGTAGATAGTGTTTAATTTTAAGAAATTGGTGGATTATAATTATACCAAAAGTAAAATTAATTCCTATGTTCTTCATTATTCCTGATTATTAGTACTTTAATTTAGAAGCATAATGTATGAATAAATATTTATTATAGTAATTAAATCGATATGCACAACGAACAAGACTTTTCAGGAAGTCGAAAATAAAAATTACTCTCTGATACACGCTGTATGTTTATCAATTTTCATAGTAGTTTAATTCCGATTCAATCCAAATTTTCGATATTTTGATCAAAGTTATTATAAGAAGAGTAAAACTTAAATTTAAATACCTCATAATCTTATAATAGATTTTTCTGAGTTAATGCCTTATTCGTTGCGCATAGCGATGTATAGTATAAGATTGATTTTTAATAATTTAGTATTGTAATTTTTTCGGAGAATTTGTAAAAAATTATAAAGTAGTTCTTACTTTTGTAGTAAACGTGTGAAAAATTGATATGCTTGATATAAAACTTTTCTGAAAATAATTTATTGTTAATTATGAATTAAAGGTTTTACAAGGAATTTTCATCAGATTCAAAAATATACTTTAACTATTCAATTTTCCGAGCTAATTTCAAATCTACAATTAAATTTTTTCTATCACCACTAATTTTTGATATTATTACTAATTATTAAAAAACAAGGGCGTGGTGTGGCGCGGTGGTCACACTAGTTGTTGACAAAACTCTAGTGTAAAGCCGGGTCTACCACCGTAGGTGAACGGATGGGTGACCATACGTGTGCTTCTACGGTGGCGAAAAAGCACCATGTTCCCAGTGCAGAAGGCAACGGGAAACCACTGCACTTAAATTTCCCCAGGATATACCAATCCAATTGGTATTAACCAACCTAACGGTTGAAAAAAAAAAAAAAAAAAAATTAAAAAACAATGAGGTATAACTAAGGAATATAAGAATAAGTTCTGAATATTTCAATTGTATCATCTGTTTAAACACCAAGAGATACTATGAAATGATTTATTACGATATATAACAAAAAATATAATAAGTGATTATATATTAATTAAATTTTAATTTATCTATTAAAACATGTCATATAGACATATAATATACGTGTATGATGAGTCAAATATGTTACTGGGTATGATTAGCTAAATTTGCCTAAGTATTATAATTTTTTTTAACTTATTGTTAAAAAGTGATTAGTATATAATTACTGCTCAACGATATTATCTCCTTTAGGAGATCATATGAAAATATTTTGCATGAGACATTGCTACAGATTTTCAAGTTGAATATTTAGCAAACTATAAATAGATTCAAGGCTAACACAATGGACTATGACGAGAGGGAAAAGAATATTAAGTAAATGCAGTGTATTAACTCTATTTTAGCTCTAGAAAATTTAGATTTTTAAAACTCTAGGTAATTATATTTGTTGGTAAAAATTCAAGTAAGTATTACCTTAATTAAGTTAGCAATAAACATTTTCTGCTTATAAATAAAAATAAATGTAAAATGCAAGATGGGTTGTAGAATACAACTTTTATTCCAGAATTATAATTTAGTGACTAAATATTATAAATTCATCTAGACTATACGTTAAAAACAAAAATAATTGCATCAATCCACCTTGATAAATGTTTTGATAGATTTGTTATAATTAAGGTAGTAGATAATAATAAAATCGTTAATGTATTTATAAATAATTTGATATTAAGTTAACAGCAAATTTTATGTTTATTATATGGCCTACACTGGCTGCTACATATAATTTACCTGTTATTAGGTGTGATAATACGTTTTACAAATATACCGCAAGTGCATCTAAATAAGAAAATCCAATTTTTTTCGTCTTTTTAATACTTTTCATTAAATCAAGGATCTATTATGGCATTAGGTAAGTTGAATATTAAGAAATTTTTTCTATTAAACATTATATTTAATTATATTTGTTATTATAATTATTTAAAAATGATTAGATTTTTTTTCAATAACCTAAGTAGATGTGAGAAGAGAAAAAAGAGAAATTTTACAACAAATGTTTTTTTTTTTAAATTTAAGAAGCTAATTTGTCGATATTAATTTTGTAAATAATGGTTTTATTATATTTAAATTCTTAATGAATATATATATATATATATATATTTTTTAGAAATATCAACTGCAGATAGTCAAGATTATAAATTTAATCCTATCAATTTTGGAACTATACATTTTAGTGTAAAAGCTTCAAATGACGCCCATATTGCATTAACATCAACTAACTCAAATAAGCCACCTAAATATGAGGTAATGAAATATATTTAAGTATAAGATCAAATAAATAGCACCCTTAATATAAAATTTAATTAATAAACTTTGATTGAGTCAGATATATAGAATACATAATGAATATTTTAACTTTATGATATTCTAGAAATTTACTTAGTTACAAATTTTAATTATTAAACATATTATTTGATGATTTATGTTTTGTAAAATATTTTTAGATATTTATTGGTGGATGGGGTAATACAAAGTCTTCTATTCGTAAAAATAATGAAGAACCTGATAAAGTTCTTGTTGATACACCAAAAATCTTGAATGGGAATGAAGCCAGAGGTTTTTGGATAAAATGGGGTGGTGGCTTTATAGGTGTTGGAAAGCAAGGAGAAGCTCAACCATTTATGGCTTGGCAAGATGATGAATCTCTAAATATTGCATTCTTTGGAGTTCGTACAGGTTGGGGAGCATCTGGTGTTTGGACAATTGAAGGTATTATGTTTTTTTGTATTATTTTTGATATTAAATGGCAAAAAATTAAATTATATAAATTTTTACTTAACATTGTATCATGGTATTTTTATTGTATATTTATAAAAATAAAAAATTTTTTAATTATCTTTACAACTTAATTTATTAGAAGAGAATATTAAAAAAAAATTACTTTAAAGGACACTTACTTAACTACAAATTCATATTGGGGGTAAATTTATGGAATGAAAAACTTAAAAAAGGTCATCATAAATACTCTTAAATAATAAAACATTTTCTCCAGCCACATTTCATAAAAAAAATGTTTATATAAGACTGTTCTGTATTTTTTCATAATTAGTCTTAAGTATAGTGTTTAAAATTATATATTTTAAACATAAATAAATTGTAGTAATTGTTTGTAATTAAATTTGTTTTTTGTTCTACTTACTAAAATTATATTTAAATATGATTATTTCAATTTAAACAGATAATATTTATATTAATACTGAGAATAGCATGGAATATATATTTAGATATATCATGCATGGATCTATTAGTTTCTCAGTATCTTGTGAAAATGATGCTCATATTGCTTTGACTACAAAAGCTAAAGAGTCTGAACCTATGGTGGAAATTTTACTGGGTGGATGGAAAAATACTGCTTCTGCTATTCGTTACAACAAACAAAAGCCAGATAAGGTTAAACATTTTTCACAGTGATCATTTAAAAAATGATATAGTTTGATCAGAGTGAATATTTTTTTTTAATTTTGTATTAATGTTAATATATTTTAACTAAAAATTTTTTGTGGTGTTATGATGATTAGTAATTAATATTTCTAACTTCAAAGTAAATCAAAGATTAAGATTTTGTTGAATATTTTTATTTTAGTTCTAATTATTTTTAAATGATTAGTTGCAAAAATATTTGTAGTGTTAAGTTGCCCTTCAAATATGAAAGACTCCCCTTGCAATATAATAACTTTACACTGGATTGTTTATTTTATTAACTTATATTGCATTTAAGGTGTAGAAAAATAGGATAAACATTTTTACCATTGCATTTTATATTATGGTATGAACATTTATATTTTTAAAGTTATATTGTAACAAACAGAACCTCAAAAATCCATACATAGTTCATTTCTTTTGCAGAAACCCAATTAGAGGGTCTGTTCTTCTTGTTTTTAAACTTTCTACTACTATGTATTTTTCATTAATTAGTAGTTTGATTAACTAAAATTAACTTTTTGGAGGAAATTAAAGTCCAAGACACATAAAAATAAAAAAGTTTAAAACAATTGAGTCTTTAATACAGTTTGTAGGTTTTTTCATTAACTTAGGAAATAATATTATTTACTAATACACATATATTAATGAATAAAACAGATTTGATTTAGTTTTCTAATACATTAATGTATTAATATAATTAGTTTTGTTATTTATTTTGCCTAATTCATTATTTACCAATCAATATGATTTTTAAAATTATAATCAATGTTTTTGTGCTTTATTTAAAAATTTGTATTCTTGTTAAACATATCATTATGTCATTAGTTAAACTAACCGTAATGACTTTATTGTAAATACAAATTTATATATTTCGTCCCCTAAAAAATTTACTTTCATAATTATATATAGTATGCTAAAAAGTTATTTAATTTATTTGAATATTAATACTGGATCGACATAATTTGGTACAACTATATATTATGGAATTATTGTTTTTGTTTAGATTGAGTATTAATTTTTATAAAGTGTTAAAAAATAAATATTTTTAATAATATCTATAAAGAACCAGCTGTCAAATTTAATAAAGTTATCTGCTATACACATATTGTCATTGATTTGATAATAACTCGTATTTAACATTTGATAAATTTTTCAGGAATGATTAAAAACTAATTTATATTTCTAAATAATAATTAATATATTTATTTATTTATTCATTATAAGATATAAAATATTAACTGATACTACAAAAAATTGTTTTTTTTTTTTGTAAAATTAATTCAAGATAATTGTCATCATTGAATTTAAAAGCAGATATGTGCAACTAAATTGGTATTCTAAAGGGAAATATCAAAGTATGTTAAAATGACTTATATAAAATTATATTATTCTTAAAAATATGAATTTCTTTGACACTGAATAAATAAAAAAATATCAGATACGTGACATTTTCAAATCAGTGACAATGTTTATTTTGATTAACAAGAACTTATTTTCATAAATTTTACTTTTATTGACCACTTTTAAATATTTTTATACAATTTAAAATTAAAATTTTATTTCTAATAATTTATTAGAACAAATAGAATACTTAAAAATGTTTTGAATGACTTATTGACTGATATTAAGCATTAATATTTTTTTTTAAGGGGACGATGTATTTTAATTATAATATATTAGAACCCTTTAATCTATCCTATACTTATTGATATGTTTAAAGGTGCATATTGATACTTCACAACTTTTGTCTAAAAATACACCTAAGAAATTTGTTATTTTTTGGAGAGATGGCCTAATTGAAGTATTTCATGACAAATATAAATTATTTGAATGGATGAATCCAAAACCATTTATTGTATCTCATTATGGTGTGCGTACTAGTTGGGGGGCTTTAGGAGAATGGCATATTAACGGATCAGCAGATGAACAGTTTAGAAGTGAAATTGAGATCCCTAAATCAGATAATATAAAAGCAAAAGGTTAGGTATTTTTATGAAATTTAATTATAACCTTACTGGATTATAAGTAGTTTTTAAACTTGTTTAATTAAGAATTTCTAGATGTTCACTAAAATAAATTATAAATAATCTTTAATGTTCTATTTAAATTAACAATGATCTTATTTTTAGCTCCTCCAGTACTTACTCCTGGGTGGAATATTGGAGGAGATATTCTTGGACCAGTTCAATGGGTGAGAGCTAGTAATGGTCAGATACCACCAAATGCTTTACAAGGGGGTTTTGATACAAATAATGAACAGCTTTATGTAGCTAGAGCTGAACATAATGGTGCTTTGATTCCTGGAAAACTTGTTCCTTCACATGGTGTTACTTATGTGGCTTGGGGAGGAATAGAAAATCCTAAAGAAAATTATGAAGTAAGAAAATGGTTTCTTTTTGCATTTGAATTTAAGTGACTAAATATACTTTAGGTTTTATGTAATTGTAATGCTACGTGGATCAAAGCTAACAATGGTGAGATACCTGTTGGAGCTTTGTCTTCTGGACACACAGAAGAGGGCGAACCATTATTTGTTGGCCGTGGAAAACATAATGGATGTGTAACTGTTGGAAAGGTAACTATGTGTAGTAGTTAATTTTAACAAAAAATATAATTAATAATTTTGTTATATCATATGAAATTTAAAATTCTTTATTATTTATTATTTATTATTTATTCAGTAAGATTTTTCACTTTTGCATAAAATATTTATTTATAGATTTGTGAAATGTTTATTTGTTTTTAATTATTCTTATTAATAAAGTCCAGTATAATATATTTCAATTTAACTGATTTTAGATTGAATAATTTTTACAATTGATTTTATTAAGTGAGTTAGATTGTTTTATTTAATTCAGTTTAATTATAAATTATTTATTGTTCGTGTGAAAATTATACAATAAATTAAGTATATTAGGTAAGTAAATTATACTAATTAATTTGTGTTGGTTTTGATTTAATTATAAAAATACAAAATGAATAATCCGATAATTAAAGACATATTTCGCAGTGAAAATATTAATGCTCTATACTTTGAAGAACATTATTTTGAGCTTAATAACTTCAATGGTCTTAATAAAATTTTATTGTTCTATGACTATTTTCGAAAAGCTATTACAGCATTATATTTATTATATTTTCCATTACAGCAATTTTTGAGGTGAACATAAAAAAATTAAAAATTTCAATAGTGTCTTAAAAATAAATATTTTTATTGATTTATTAGGTTTTGATGTACAAATAAGCCTCATATATATTAATACGCTTTTTTATAATCATAATCTGACACATATTCAACTGGGGCCTTGGGATATTTAAACTAAATCAAAAATAATTTATTAATCAGGAATTACTATATTATTAGGCATTAATAATTATATTTTCTAAATTAAAGATTTCTTATCAAACTAAAATATGTTTAACATGTATTCAAGTTTAAAAATGATTAGCTAAATAATTATTACACTATTTTCTTACCTTATGAAATAAAAAATTGAAAATGAATTAAAGAATTCAGATTTTTTTAAGAATTAAAATTGTTCTTATTCAAGTGTTGAACATAAATAACCAAAAATTAACTGTTTTAATAAAACTTGGTAGTTTTAATATTTATTTAATAAATATTATATATGTATATATTTAATATCTGAAGGATTGTATATATCAAAAAGGTTGGAAATATTTGATATTTTTTACATATATTAAAATGATATAGTTGCATAATCTAATAAAATAATTGTTTTAAAAGAACGGTAAAATTATTTTTTTCTTGAAAATGATTATGTTAATTACTAAATTACAACAATCTTTCAGTTATTAATTTTTTTAAATTTAATTATTTATTTTTTCTGTTTTCTTTTTTTAGGTTACTTCGAACAATAATGAAAATAATGATAAAGATTTAAATGTATTAATATTAGATTTACTAAAAAATTACATTGAAAAGCCATCTGATGATCATGATGTTTTTGGAGCTTATGTATCAATGGAAATGAGAAATTTAAAGACTCCCAATGCCCAAAAAAAATTGAGAACAGAAATAAGAAATGCTATATCTCGAGTTGTTAAAGAAGAAACTTTAATGAATATTACAGATTCAAGCGATGATAAAGAATATATTTTTTTAAACAGTTTACATACCTCTAACACACTTAGTAGAACTTCTAGCTTAGAAATAATTGAACCTGATTGTAAAATATGATACTGTTTTTGTATTTATCAAAATATGAGATTTTATTAAGAATATAATTAAAATAAATTACACTTAGTTTTATTTTATATAAATATTTGTAAAAGAGATTATTACACAATAAAAATTTTATCTTTGATATTTAAAAACAATACTATTATTTTATTTGTCTTTTTAAATTTTACTCTTATATACTTTATAAAGAATTAAATATATATTTAATTAATTTACATTTTTAGGTTCAGCCCTCTCACAATGTTTGCTATATACCTTTTGGCGGAGAAGAGGTAGCTTTGGATGAATATGAAGTGTTGCTTGCTTAAACAAATTATAAAATTAAGAGATGATTTATGAACAATATTTTGTTGCAAACTTAATAGCCATAATTTATTCAAATTAATATATATATATCTATACACCTATTATTGTAATTTAATAAAAATTTAATATTGGAAAAATAAAATGCTTTTTTAATTTTTATTATTATCTATAAATGGTAGTTTCAGTGAAATAAACTCATTATTTTGTAATAGTTTAGAAGACGAAAAACTAAATACTTTTTGTTTATTTGCATTATATTAGCTCTTCTAGCGGTAAATAATCACACCAAATAAATAAAAAAACTATTTTCTAATAGAAATTTAAAAATATATATTTTTTCAAAAAAAAGAGTGCAGATAAACAGGCCTTACACAAGACTTTTCAATTTTAAGTTATAATTTTAAAAATTATATAATGATAATAAAAAACTCACTAAATTTTTTTTTGCTCATGCCACTTTTGGAAAAAATTTGAAACGATACTACTGATTACAATTCTAAAAAGTGTAAAGTTACAATTGTTAGTGAAATTTTGATAGAAATATAACATATATTTTGTAGACATATTTCTAAGGTTGAACTCTTGATTAGATTTTTTTAATTATCTTTATTTTTTATTCTGTATGTAAAATTTAAAATATTTGTATTTATTAGTATGTATAACAAGAAAATATCTGAATTAATAACATAATAACATGATAGTAAAATTGTACTTAGATAGTTCTTATTGCTGTTAAGGTAGCAATATAATTTATTATAACACATTTTCATATAAAATCAATAATGTTTTATACTTATTTAATATTTCTTAGAATCGTTTTAATTTATGTCTTTAATGTTAAAAACTATAAATTGTTTTTATTCAATAAGTTCTGTTAATTTAAAATATAATGTAGTTATATTAAACTAAATATAAAATAAACTGTAACTCGCCCAATATATTTAAAAATTTAAGATATTTTCTTTTCTGAAGTTAGTATTATTGTAAACTGTATAATAAAAAAAACATTGATCATATTCCACTCCCTCCTTTTAAATTTAATCAACTTTAGTTTTTTAATAATAAATATAAATATTTAATTATCTTAAATATAAGAAAATTATAAACTAAGAAATTTCATAGTAGTTAATAGCTATTATAAGTTATTATCGACCAAAATACTCGTTTTTACTAAAGTACCATTTAAGTGTCAATAATTATAAACATATCAATAGAAAGTTAACAAAAAATACTGGTGTATAAGAAATTTTTTTTTTAATCTTTGGGTCGTTAATATAAGGTTGGAAATCTTTAATATGTTTCAAAACTAGTTAAAATACCCAGAATTACTCGTGCACATTTACGAAATAATTTATTAATTTTATTGGTTTTTTGCATTAAAAATTAAGCAAAACAAAGTAAACCATGTTGAAAGGTGTGGAACCATAACTCTTATAAGGTTCAGTAAAAATGTGATCCTGATTAAGATTTATAAGGGAGCAACCATATTTTAGTTGTTTACCTTAGATTACTATCAATACATATTGCTCGATTTGATACTTCTGTATTGAATACTTAAAAATATTATGTAGTATGTAGATATCAAATGGTGAATTCTAAAATGTCATTTAAAAACAAAATTAACTTCCTAGATGTAAGACAAGGCGTTTAAGACAAATTATTAACAAAACTAATTTCCAGGATTAATCTATTAATTTTTTTGAATACCTCAACCTAGTTTTGAGTATAAAATAGACAATAAAATAAACATAATAGGACCCAGTTTGGGATCATAGAGTAATTACTCTATGTTTGGGACACCGGAGATTGTTCTATGATAATACAATATATTTTTATTAGTGATGGGTATTTTCGAATATTTTAAACTATCGAATAATAACTACTATTCGAATTATTTTTATACAACGGAATAGTTTATTTTTAGCATAAACTATCGAATAACTATTCGAATAGATTTTTAAAATTTTTCGAATATATTGTGTAACTATGGAATATTTTTACTATTCGATATTTCCAATCACTAATTTTTATACCTTCAAAACGTCCTATCACAGATAAGATAAAACCAGATGGTCCACTTTCTACACAAGACATGTTATTCTCAAAAGTGTAAGCAAACCAAAACCATTCTCAGATCATTATCGACATCTGGTTTTATCTTATCTGTCATCCTATTGCAAGCAATGTGTGTGTGTATTGTCGTTCCGTTGAGTATACAATTATTTCTAGTTACTTTTACTTCCTTAAAAAATATTTATATTAAATCTTACTACACTGTACATCCATTTATTTTACTATTGAATACATATAAACTATAGTATTGTTGTTCTTGATACTATGGAATCAGCACAGGTATAGATAATAAACTAGATTGGTAACTGTCCATCTATAGATACCATACATTTATATAACAGAACGTTTCGTAGTGGACAAATACTGATAAGTGATTTCAATTTTTTACAAATCAAACTTTTTATTCAAAATAAAAAAAATAATCACGATTTATTTATAAGTAGCTTACCGCATCTATACCTACATGAATTACTATTGCTTATTTATATATTTTTTGATTAAATAACTTATTTTTGAACGATAGAAGTTTTTGAAAAATATTCCTTGTGTTGCTATACATTCTGATTACACTAGTTAAATGAACGGTTAGAGCGCGCTGTTCTACCAAATGCACATTGTTTATACAGTCCATGTTAGCGAATGAAGTTATTTAGCAACCATTTTCTTTTAGGCCAAACATCATTCTTAGTACTTCGTGTATGTTGTTAAGGATAAAAAATGTTGTTGATAATAAATACTTTAATTTGATACAAAAAATGCGTACACGAAATATAAGGACTGATCGTATGGGGCTTACGAAAATAGTATATAGCTAGAGATAATGTGTAAGGCTTCAGCTGTTATCACGAGTTAGCAATATAGTCTATTATATTTATGAAAATCAGTGAACTGAGTAATCTTTAGTTAAATATCTGAACTAGTGTGTATAATTGTGGTAAACATCTGCCGTAGTTTGTCAAAAACGACGGAAATTATCTTGTCTATGGTCAAGGAATATTAAATAGTTTCTTAATACACTTTTTTATTTAATACTTTTTTAATTATATTTATAACCGTGATTTATAAACAATAAAAATTTAATAGAAATAAGTATACTTCAGTAATTTTCTTATAGTGAATTAGTGGACAATAAATATAAATCGCGAAGTAAGTAATGACTCAATGAGTTAGAGCTCTAAATGAATACTTTATTATGCATTTAAGCACCTAAATTAATATATTGATTATTACAATAATAAATGAAAGCTGGCGTATAATTAGTGTGGTACAAAGTTTTTTAAGGTTTCAAGATTATATGTTCATTCTAATGAACATTCAAAGTCTGTTAATTTGAAAAATCTTAACCAGTGGAAGACGTGCAACTATTCATCTAACCTATTCTTTAATTTTCTACAAACTTCCAATAAACACCATCATTTCAAGTTTTAGCTTGACATGTTAAGTAACGCCTGTTTTGATACAAAAAAAAAGATTTTTTTAAAATTTTAAATAAATTTTAGAGAGAGTCAATTATTCTTATATATTACATAGTAACTTTTTAAAATATAAGAGCAAAAGTTTTCTTTAATTATAATGATAGCTAATTGGTAAATACATTTTGTTTATTAAACATAGTAGATTATTTTCAATAAATAAATGTATAATACATTAATTTTCCATAATTTATCTAATGACAAATATGTGATCAATAGTTAATTTATTTTTTATAACCTACTATCTCATCTTTATGTATTTGCAATCTTTTAAATATGATTATTGGCAATAACTTAAATCTATTGTTCAACAGTGATATTCCTCTATAACTCTCTAATTTGATTTGGTTGTTTTTTTTTTTTGAAAATGGGATATATCAATGATTCATTCCAGTTTTGTGGTATCTTTTCCTTATTCCATATCTGTTGAATTAGGTTACATAATTTTTGTATTAGGTTTTGTCCTTCTAACTTCAATAATTCCGCTTTTAATTTTATAATCTCCTGTAGACTTATTATTTTTTAGAACCTGAATGGCCTACAGTACCTCTTCTAAACTCAGATTTAATATTTTTGATTTTGCTATTGTTATATGGTATTGGCTTGTTTGCCTACTTCTGTTGTGCCTGTTAAGGAGTTTTTCATAGTACATTTTAAATTTCTTGACAATGTTTTCAAGTCTTGTAATTGAAAGACTTGCGACAACAACCAGATAAATTCACTTTTTAATTGAAATTTATAAAGGAAATTATTCTTGATAATTGGATGCAATATATAGATTAATGTGATCAAAATTCATTGAGTTAGTACAGAAATAAATTTATAATGATAACTATATATTAATAATTGTTTAACCAAATATTTTTCATTTTTTTATCTAAAAATGTTTTCAAGTGTTTATAAATAATAATTACTTCATGAAACTATTTGTTATTATTTTGTTTAAAATATAATATTTAATTTTTATTGCTTTACATTATAATACAAAGTTTTACAAATATTAAACCTATTGATATTTATTGAAAAAAGAAAAAATATCCTATAGTTAAATCATGACCATATGTCAATAATTTGATTGCTATAATAGTAAGGTAAGGTCTTAAATTCTTAAGTATTTCTAGATAATTAAATATTTTTTCAATTAATTTTATAAAAAAAATTTATGTTTTACAAAACTCTTTTGACAAGGTATCCTGTTATTACTTTTTTAAAGAATCAAGTTGTTATTTATTAATTCTAAATAATGATATCATTGAAAATCCTACAATTTTTGAAAATAAAATAAAAATATTTGAGTACTAATAAAAAATACACAGCTTTTATATGCAACAACTAGATAAACCATAGTCTTCTCTTCAACTTTTACCAACAAATTCATAGTCAAAATTTTTTTTTTACTATGACATCCAAAGTTTATGTGTAAATATGTATAGAATTCAAAATTTTAGTCAATACAATTATAGTATAAAAATGTTTTACAAAAATTTTATTATTGTCTTTGTTCTAAACAATTTCAAAAAGGGCATTTATCTGTTTGTTGTGGTAAATCCTTTTATTAGGGTACCATTATTATCTTCTATCATATGTATAGCTGGTATAAATCCATTTTTAAATGTTTTGCAACATTTGAAGAATTCTTTGAATTTGTGTTTGAAGTTTCTCATGTCTTATAACCGCTCTTTTTCTTCTATTCTTTTTTCTTTTCTTATTAGTATATAGCTCGTCGACAAACCCCTAACCAGGTGGACCAAATTAAACCAACTAGTTAAGACCAGCTCAGAGTTCGTTACCTCAGGTTCACCAAACTCGTAGTGTTAATTTCTTAGCAACCCCTTGAATGAATTAAAATTTTTTAACTTCATAAAATTTGTTAGTATATATATGTTAGTATAAAAAAAAAATTAATTTTTTTTTCTTAGAAATGACAACTGCTGCTCGACCAACCTTTGAACCAGCTCGAGGAGGTTCAGGACGTGGAGAAAATGATTTGAGTGCTTTGTCTGTACAATATTCTAGCAGAGATTTACCATCACATACTAAACTTAAATACAGGTACTGTAAATCATAAGTAATTTAAAAAATAATAATTTACTTTATTCTATTCTATAGTTATGATAATAATAATTGTGAATTATGATAACTTTTAGGGAACCTGGTCAAGGAACTGCTGAAGAACTTCAAAAACAGGACTTTGCTAAAATTCTTGAAGAAAAAGAAAAAGGTGTAACATTAAAATCTATAGGAAATAATGAACCACCTTTGTAAGCTTTTAATCATTAAAATATTCTTGAATCTTACATTAATTTTTAAATAATTTTATCAGGAAAAAAATCCGTCCTGAACATGTACCTATTGCAACTTTAGATGTAGATGACCCTTTAGACCTTGATGCCTCTGATGACGATGACAGTGAAGATGATGCTGAAGAATTAATGTTAGAATTGCAAAAAATTAAAAAAGAAAGAATGGCTGAAGATGCTCGAATGGTTTGTATAAATATTTATTTAATGAAGAATAATATCCAGTTATGGCATTGGTTATTAAAGCTGTTGATAAATTTTAAAAAACAGTTGTAATTTTAACATTTTTTTAAATATGATTATTTAAATTAGCATTAATTTTTAAATAAATTGATTCATAATTTAATATTATTTTACTACTTTTGATTTTTAATACATTTATGTTAAAAAATTATTTATATTAAGCTTATAGAAAATTTCACATAAATTTTAATTAAGGTTTCAATTATTACTATACTTTAAAATTTTCGATAGTTAAGAAACCTTAGCATTAACTATGTTATTCTATTATGCTATCAATAATAAATAAAAATAATGATTATTATCATGTTTAATATTACAGAACATTTTCAAATGATTTTATTGTATGTTTGTTTAGAATAACTAATTTGTATAACCACTTATAAAACAACAACTAAAATAACATTGATGGTACTTACAAAATGTGAATTGAATTAAAAGACACTTTAAAACACAATTTATTATAGATTATAAATATTATACGATTATTGAACTTAAAATTAATGAGTTAAATTTTTGTTTTAAGTTACACGAATAGAGGGCCAAAATTATTATTTTCTCCACTACTGGGTTCTGGTACCAATGGTTACTGGATGATATTGATTTTTTTATAATCCTTTATATTTATAAATAATGAGTTACTAGTTTAAACATTGTTTATTAATTTTGACCTATATTTTAATAATGAAAAATACATTATTAATGTATTAATTAATTATCAATCATCATAAGAATTTTTTTCTATTTTTAAAGGAATCTGAAAAGCGTGAAGCTGAAGAACAAATCAGAATTCAAAACATTCTTCAAGGCAACCCTTTGTTAAGCTATAGTTCTGTTGCACCTAAAGTAAATCAAAAAGTTAAAAGACGTTGGAATGATGATGTAGTATTTAAAAACTGTGCCAGGACAGAACCTGAAAAGAGCACTACCTTTATAAATGATTGCATTCGTTCTGATTTTCATAGAAAATTTATGGACAAATATATCAAATAAATTTAATTATAACTTCTAAACAATGTGAAAAAATTTTCTACTAAAATACTTTAATTATAGATGTACATGAAATTTTGAGTTAAACAATATTAAACAACAATATAATGTTTTCTTAAATAACTAATAGTCTTTTATTACTTCACATTTTTTATTATTACATCTATATTTCTTCTTGAATTTTTTCATCTACAGAAATGTGATCGTCATCGACATCATCATTATCATTTTCAGTTACCGATAAAAATGTTTTAATTATTTTACATTTAGTGTATTTACAACTACATGGAGTTGGATGGGTTTCTTGTTCAGGGTCTAACATGTCTAAACTTATACTATAGCTTCTAGTTTTACAATTGTTACGTTTTAGTTTTACATTGAACATTACAGCATCTCCTTCTTCCACATCCATTTGTGTTGGTAATACAATAATAGTTTGTTTCCAGTGGGTTTCTGGTGCTTCTGGTGCAGTACTCAATGTATATTCATTACCTGGGAACTGAACATCAAACCAAAAACATATACCTTGATAAATACCAGTTTTGTCTACAACAGTTAAACATTTGTCAGCTACAATTTCATCTAATTGCTCTTTTTTACAGTAACGAAGATTTAAATTGAAAATTGGCTTAACTGAAGTAGTGAGAATGTTATCAGATGATATTGTCATAACTTTAGGTCTATTTTCATAAGACTTACGCAGAGCTTCAGCAAATCTTCTTAACTTGACACCACTAATTTCGTCTAAATCAGAATAAATATCTGGCAGAGAACAAGGAGAAGCATATAAAGAACAATAAGAGGGAAAAATCAACCCATCAGGTTTTAAAAATTGATCACGTGCATACAAAACACTGTCAAGCATACTTTCATGTAATAAATAGAAACCCATCCATTCTGATACAATTATATCTACTTGATAGGGTAATGTCAAATTTTCCACTTTACTGTATACAACCTGTAATTAATATATACAACTTTATATTAAAAGACATTACTCATAACTAATAGCATATTTTTTGTATAATTACCTCAATGATATCAGAAAAATGATTTTCTTCAATTATTTTCCTCGATAATTCAGCTGTTTTACTAGCTTCGACTGCATAAACTTTAGAAGCTCCAGCTTGTGCACAAAATATAGATAATATCCCTGTTCCTGATCCTACATCTAAAACAGTTTTTCCTTCAAATATATCTCTGTTAGAAAGTATTGCTGTTCTGTATGCTTCAGTTCTAGCTCTATCCTGAATCATCAATTTATGAACCTAAAAGAAATAAAAATTACATAGAACCAATTTAAGATAGTAAAATTTCTAATTACTTCTAAGTCCTCGTAACTCAAAAAATATGAGGAATCTGTACCGTTTGTATCACCCATATTGTGCTTTAAACTTTTGAATATCTGCGCGCGTGATAGCTATAACCTGAAAATATCGGTATGTAGGTTAAGGTTAATAAGGTAATCTTATCAATTAAATAAATTTGTTATCAACACTATCAGATGTTTCAATATTTATTAGTAGTGTATATCATTTGAAAGTGGCTCATTTAAGTTTCGTGATCAAATATGATTACTCTCAATTCAGTTAAACACTTAACTAATATTGCTACTAAAAATGTTGTGGCATCCTAGTACGTATATTATTGTAATAATATTTTGTATTTGTCAAAATTATTAAATATCTATAATAATTATTTAGCAATAGAAGTTTTGTCACCGGAGCAGTCCGGCAATCAAAAACTGATACTACTGAAAGAAGCTTAAAATCTATTATTGATAAAAATGAACCAACATTATTAAGAAATGACATAGTAACTAAAAAACTGCCAAATGAAGGTAGTGTCCAAGGTTACATTGAGGTCAATAGGAAGGTATAAAGTTGTATGATCTTATTTTTATTAAAATTTATATGAAAAGTTTTTGAAATTATAAATTTTCATTCATAATTTTCTTGATAGATAAAAGGTAAATATCTTTTAAAAACTACATAATATATACTAAATAAAATCATGAATAATTAATAATTTATATATAACAAAATTGTACTTAATTACATCAAAGAACTTGTTTCAATGGAAAAAAATCTATACTATAAGAAATTAAAACTTAAATTTTTTTCAATTAATACTTTTTTGTTTAAAAAAATTATACCTTACTTTAAACTTTTGGTTATCTATACTAATTTTCTATCTTTAATTGGCTCTACTTTATTTTTTTAGTTAAAATGATTTCTTTATTTATTTTGATTTATTTTTATGTATTAATTCTTTGTAAGAAGATAATTAGTATTTACAGTCAGCAAATTTTTATTTAAAGATTTGATGTATTAATTCATCCTATTAAGTCATATGACCAATACGAATTTCCTTAGACTTAAAAACATAAATTCATCTACTTACTATGTTTAATACTTTTAAGTGTGTTGCTTCTACTACTAAATTTACACAATACTATTTGTAAGAGTAACAGCCTTTAGACTTAATGTTCTCGGGAAGGCCAAGAACTGGTTTTATAATGTGTGTTATCTTATAATTCAATACTTCACATTCTATATCTTAATCGATTCATGCTGATATTATTGACAGTCTTCTCAGCATGCAACAAGTACTATAAACATTAATTACATCAACACATATGGTACCCATGAATGGTTACTTTAAAGATGTTACATTTAGTAGAATATAAAATAATAAGTATTCATGTAATCTTTAGAATTATATTTGAAAGGTTAGAAATATTTATTTAATTAATGTGATGTGTATTAAATAAGTAAATACATCATTATTATTTTACAATAAAATATATTTATGTTGTGATGTTTAATATTTTAGTATTTTCCCCAATTTATCAAGTAAATGTTTAGTTGCTTTAATAATTCTGATAGACTAATGTGTCTTTAACTTATATTTGATGCTGTAAACTATTGTACATGTTTTAATTTTTCAATGTATTAAATTTATTATAATTAAATTAATTAATTAAAATATTATTTTGTATTTATCAATATTTTCTACATAATTGCAACAAAAAAATTTAATATTATCCATAAAATTTGATTTCAATTGACTTTATTAGGTGCAAAAATATATTTTAAATAAATGATAATGATTTAAAAAAAATGAATAAAACCTATTTTAAAAATGAAAATACATTTCTTGAGTTTAGTGTTTATTTTGTGTATTTTATATACTTTTACTAATTTTTTTAATTAATATATTTAATACTTGATATGTTTGTTATTTTCTTACTTATACACATTATAAAATTTTAAAAAATTTTAGGTTGACATAAGTCCAGTAAGTGGTGTTCCTGAAGAACACATAAAAACTCGTATTGTAAAAATAAGTAAAGCTACTAAAAATGTAATGCAATCTGGAACAGATAATACTCATAGTTGGGTTATGGAATTTGATAACAGACAACGTTGGGAAAATCCTTTAATGGGATGGACATCTACGTAAGTTAACTATAGCTTTGAAACATTATTATTTCACAATCATTTGATTCATGCTGTGTTATTCAATTTATGATTTTAGTGGAGATCCATTATCTAACATGCGCCTAGAGTTCAGTAATAAAGTAGAAGCAATCAATTTTTGTGAAAAAAATGGATGGAAGTGGTTTTTAGATGCTGAACATAAACCCAAACCCAAAGTTAAGTCGTATGGTATTAATTTTTCTTGGAACAAACGTACAAGAACATCTACAAAATAATTATTTATAATCTCGAACTTCTTTCATTTTTATTATTAGTAACTTAGTAAATACATTGCAAAAGTATATTGTTAATTTTTTCAATTAAACTAATTTTCTACTAAATATAAATAAATCAGGAAATATTTGCAATTATTATTGCTTAAAATAAATGTATTCGTTGAATTTGTTAATTTTTTATTTTAACAAAAAACTTAATATAATACAAAATTAATATATGTTTTATTAGACATATAAAATGGCTCTAATAATTAAATATACAATAATACTTTTACCAAAATATTAAGTGACTAGAATTAATTTGCAATATAACATATATCTACTGTAATCAATACTTATAATATGAATAATATATAAATATTTAAATAGTGCACAAATAGTATATAATACAGTTATACATTTATTATAGTTATTTTTTTGTTTAGTAATAATGTATATTAGGGTAATGAAAAAAAAGGGTTACTAAAAAATCATTTACTTTTATTGTATAATAGTAAATTCAAGAATAATAGATAAATTAAAGTATTATATTCTATAATATAATATATCAAGTGTTTATCACGATAGTAAATGAAAAAATAGATTACTATCTCAATTAATTGAAAATTTTAGGCACCAATGGTAAAGGGAAGTATAGGCACTAAAGTCAAAGTCTATATAAATGCATTATTATTGTGTAGAAATGTACACTAAAAAGCTCTAGTTAATGGCTGATTTATAAACAATTGCCATATAAAAGTATAAATACATGATACAAAAAATTTTAAATATCTAGAAAAATAAAGATTATATTGCTATTAAACATAGTAGCTACCATAATTATTCAGTAGTGATTTAATTAATAATGCATTTTAAGCTTTAAGTAATTTTTCGTTATAATAACTACATGTAAGGTACTAAATTAACATATAAGATTAGATAAGAAAAATTTTTGTAACTCATAAAAATAATTTTAACTATTTATCATTTTGAAAACATAACTAATTTTAAATGAATAATAAAATATTATTATGTGATTATTCTTTCAATGTACCAACTGTAATTAAATGAAATATTAATACAATTTTATAGTTTTAATGAATTATTTATTAATTCATTATTTAAACATTTAAATAAATTCTCTTTATTTATTAAAATTAATAATTTTTTTCATTATTATAGTTCCTATGATTATTGCTGTTAACATTAATGTTTTATTAACATTTTATAATATGTTAATATTCACTTTGGAGTGCCTACTAAAATTAATTTTGAATTCAGTTTTGTTTAATTTATATTGCGGAATGAAAAAAATGTATCTAAATAAATGCTTAAAATTTATTTTAATGTAAAACTAGTCAATAGGCATGCTTTACAATTTTTCTTTTTGGTGTTATGGGATTATGAAACGGGCGCCCGCATTTCTAATAATTAATGAATTATGGAAAAATATTGAAATACCAGTGTCATCCTAAAAATAAACTTGATATTTTTACAGGAATAATTCTTTATGTTAAATACAAGTTGTGAGTTATCTATAAAGAAAATGGTAATATCTAAATGCACATACAATTATTTCAACATCTTAATCTAAAATATTTAACTTAATCTTTGTAAATCAATCATATCAAAATTGATAATGGTATTGATAACTCGATGGAAAAAAAATTATTTTGAATTATTATAAAAAAAAAAAACTAATTCATCGCTCATCAAAATTATTTGTACAAATTAGGTATAAACATTGGATTAAATTTCGATAAAAAAAGCAATATTAATAGGACATTTGTATATTTCAAGACGTACATAAAATTTTATGTAAGATTGTAATTTTGAATTTTTTTTTAAATTTTATATGTACATAAATATTATTGTAGAAATAATTTTTATAAAATATGGTAAGTATTATTGTCATTTTGACGTTATGGTGTAAAAAGTTAATTTTTCTTAACTATTAATCATACGTAGAATATTAATATGAAACCGAACGGATAATTTATAATTATTTTTAAAATAAAGAAATTATTTTATTGTAAAATATTACATAATTATTGCGCATGTCAAAATAAAAAAAAAATATCATTCAAGTAATATGGAAATTTTAAGATGTTTAATTAATTTTAAATAAAGACTGGTTATAGTAGTCTAGTTATGCATTGAATTTATTTTCAGTAATTATTTAGGTAGTTTTAAAATAAAACCTTATATTATAGTAAAAAAAAAAATATTTTATATAGGGTTCTAAGAGTATTTTAGAGAGGATATATATATATCATTTTTTGTATGGCTGTTGTGTGGATCATGATCTATTATTTTAGCAAGGATAATTGAAAATCAATTTTTATCTCAGTACCTCTTAAGTTATTTTATGGGTGACTTCATTACAACCTCATTGGCTTACCTCCTCAACAAATTATAAAAACATACACTTAAGTAAAAAAAGTTATTAGTGATCAGATTAAATTTAAACATTTTAAAATTAAATTTAAAAAATCGGATAAACTATTTATTAAATATCTGTCTATGAACTAGAAAAAATATTTGAAATGTGAATAAATTATTTGAGTATTGTAAAGTATTTAAACAGCATTCAAATTTATTATATTTTTAATAAGAAGAATTCATCTATTTTATTTAAAGCTATTAGAAAATTCTCTTTTTTTAAAAATCGTATCCTATAAAAGAAAAATTTACGATTCATTAATCATTATTTTTAGTAAATAAATTTTAGCATTGCAATTTTTATTATTTTATTGAATTTACAAGACAATTTATTTACATTTTTTAAGGGTTGGAATAGTTATTTAAATTTTTTTTTAATTTACGAATAAGAAAAACCTGTAAATTTATTAATAACAATTGTAATTCATATTACATTGAATTTTCAAATTAAGTACTTCAAATACTAACTAAGGTGTACCCCTGAATTTAAACATGTAGACGTCATATATTTTTTATTTTCATGTCTTTATAAGTAAGAATTGTTTTCCTGGAGAATTGCACAATTTTTAAAAATATCGATCACTAATTTTTAATAAATATAAATACCTATATTAAAAAGTTGAACGTATGTTTTATATACTAAAACTTTGCTAATAGCTTGATACAAAATTTATCCCTTTTTTATTTACAACTTTAAAAGAAAGTAAGCGTAATTTTTCAAGTCTTCGAAAGTTTTTATGTTTTTTTGATTAAGATTCTATCTTATGTTTATAGAAAGTGATATGATATCATCAATATTCAATCACAAATTATTTTTTTTTACATTATATCGTATAAATATGTCACAATGTAAAATTTTGAGTTTTGATTATAATCAAACTTCACAACTTAATAATTAACTAATAAATGTATCTGATTACATAACTCTCATCAACTGTGAGATCCTTCTGAAGCTCTGTGTACAAGGGCTTTATGCTGTATAATTTTGGCTTCGGTAGCTCGTCGAAATGCCAGTCTTTTACAATGAGCGGAAGTGCCACTGGTAGCCGAAGAAGTGGGTAAGCCCTGTGATTCCACACTGTGACTATCAGGCGACGCATCCGTAATGGTAATACTAACATTAGATGTTTGAGGAGAATGGTCCGTCAAGTCTTTGAGTCCATTACGATTTAATGTCAAAGGAAGCACATATGGTTTTGATTCAGGAGATGGTTCGCTGATTGTGATTTGTACCGTTGCATCAGTCCTAAAAATTAATTTGTTATTACGATATAATTTTTTTTATTGAATCATAACAAATTTATAAAATTTATTATTTTAATTACAATTATCATAAGTAAAATTACTGAAAAATCTTAAAAATTTCGACATCATTTTAATCAAAGCTGAATAAAAAATAAAAAATAATATTTTTAACATAAATATTTTTTCTTACAAAGATTTTTTTTTGGGGGTAGGAACTTCAGATTTATTAGGACCATCTAATTGAGCTCCTGACATTAAAAACATTGGTAAATTTTGCCACACTGACGCTCCGAGTTCTGATAAATCTGATGCATCAGATGCTCTGGAAGATTTCCTTGATGAAGCTCTAGAACTGCGGTCACCATTTCCTCCAATACCGCTTAATGATCTACCTTTCACGTGTAAAAAAGATGAAAGGCGCGACTGCCATCCGCCGGGGCTTGATGATTGAGTATCCGAATATAAATCAGTCATATCTTTTTTTCTTCTAAAAATAAGATTGCTCTTATAATAACATTATTTAGTAAAATAGTTATCATAAATTTGAAAACATACCTTCTGAAATTTCTGTAAGATCTTTGTATAAGACGGGCTGCTTTATCTTGTCGTTTCCATAGTCGTGTTGATGAAACTATTTCGAGTTCTTTACGAGTCGGGAATTGTTTTTTGAATTTAACATCCATTTGATCTTGTAGCTAGAATATAAAATAAATAAAATCGTAGTTCTGTATGAATATTTAAATAAAAATGATTACTTTTTTGAATTCGTCTGTTTCTTCCACATGACCAAGTACATGTTTTACTAAAGCATGAAGTATGTCCAAACAATGTATTTTGTTACCTCGCGCAATCGGTAAATTGAAGCTTACCAAAGCCACAATATTTGGTTTAGGTATACCTAATGGTGGATCTAGACTAGCAATAAAATCAGATATTTGGTTGAAAGCTATAAATTGTGTTGCATGAGGATCGAATCTTAAAAAAAAAATAAAACAAAGTATTCAATAAATTTCAGATCTAAGTTTAATAAAATTTTTTTTTACTTACTTAGACCACCTGATATAGAACATTTCAAGATCGTCTTCGACTATTCCAATCTCTTCCTCTTGGTGAGCTTGGTTAAAATTTTCCAATATAATTGCTATATACATGTTGATTACAATCATATAACTAATTATTATAAAACTAGTAAAATATGTAATAGCTAATATAGGATGACCACAATTGCCATTTGGAAGCCCGGGTGTTTCTAATTCACAATCTGGCGGCTGAACCATTAAAGATTCTAGTACATCGTTCCATCCAGCAGAAGTCATAAGCCTAAAAATTACATATTTATATAAATAACGCTCACGATTCTTCGTGTATATAAAAGTTAAGTTTAGAGGTTATAAATTGGAGATTATTTATTGAAACCAATCATTTATTTACCTAAAGAGGAGTTGCATGCTTCTACCAAAAGTCTCGAAGTTAACCATATCATTAATGGCTTTTTGTTTTTTAACATGACCAAACACAGACATGCCTATAATGGCATATATAAAAGTAATAAGACCAAGTAATGCTCCTATATTAAATAACGCTGGCAAGGAAACAATTAAAGCAAACAATAACTTCCTTATGCCTTTGGCAGCCTATTAAACACATTTTAATATACAATTTTGTTTTTATAGTAAAAAAAATTACAATTGAAATTTTAATATTTTTAACCTTGATAAGTCGGAGTATTCTACCTATTCTAAATACTCGAACGACTCTTAATAATGTCGGCGAAACAGGAAAATCAATCATAATGTCTTCCATAAGTATTCCAAGAACTGAAGCCAAAACTAACAGAAAATCAAAAACATTCCAAGGAACAGTAAAATAATGAAAACGAAGGCCGATAATTTTAACTAAAGCTTCTGTAAAGAAAAAAGACATTGATAAAATTTATTATTAAATATTTTATTAAAAGCAATTACCTAATCCAAAAACCGTAGTAAAGAATGCGTTGCACACTTCTAATACAAAAAATATTGCTACCGGTTGATTATAATGTTCTATACCCATGGTTAACATGTTTAAAAAAATAAGTACAAAAATTGCTACCTCAAATCTAAAATTTTAAAATTGTTTAAAGTTATTTTGATTAGCTAAAGATTATTAACGAACTAATTTGTGACGAACAAATTATTCTGAAGGTAATGTATGCTTAAATATAATCCAGGCAGGGCAAATTAATGATTTTTTTTAATTCGTTAAAATTAAGTTAATTTAAAAAATGACCGAATTAATAATTAAAGTTAATTCATTATTTTTTTAAATAAATTAAGTTAAAACTTAGGTTGACAAAATCTTAACGAGTTAAATTAAGTTAATTCAAGTAATAGTAGGTTTAAAATAATATCATATGTGTATTGTTGGTAACATTTTTGCTAGTCTAAATTATTTTTTATATAACAATACATGATATTTTAAGCATAAAAAAAGTTTTTGCGTAATTTTATGTTATTTTAATTTCTTTATTTAAATTAGTCAACATTACGTTTTATGACCGTTTCCATGGCAAAATCGTGTATCTCGGCAATTTTAAATTTTCGTTTTGAGAAATACATTTTTACAATATGATACATAATTTAAGTGATTTAGAATAAAAAATCTCTAATATATCTTGAGATAATGTAGTACTAAAAGAACCTATTTCTATTGTCAACTATACAAAAAGTATACAGAGTAATTGATACTGTTACTGAACGACTTCCATTAAATTGAGTAATTTTGTTTATTTGTGATGCATTACTTTGATGGCAAAATTTAAACATTTATAAAGATAATCAGAATTGTGTTAAATTACAGAAAATTTTCAGTTTTTTTGATTTAAATTTAATTTAGAAGGTTTACTTTTCATTTAATATCACTGAAAGTATTCAAATTTAAGGATAGACAAAATTATTTATTATATATACCCAACAAATATTAGAAGTTAATGAGTAATAATAAATCTGTTATATAATTTTAAATTTCAATATATCATTAATCTTTTGATAATTAGACGAGTAACCCTACACGATTTTGTCATAGAGACAACAATAAATGATAATAATATTAAATATTTTAAAAAAATCGTCAAAAATAAATGTGTTTAAATTAATTTAAATGAATTTTTTTATGATAATTAAAATTTTATAAAAATATTTAACGAAAAATACCAAGAGTATATGTTAATTAGTCTTTAATTAATTAAAAAAGAATTAAGTTAAAATCTAAATATTTCTGTTTAAATTAAAAAGCTTAACTAAATTTTAACTATTTAACTCGTTTATGCCCAGACCTGAATATAATCAATCCTTTAAATAAAATTAAAAACATTTTAATATTAAAAAATGTAAATAATTAACCTTCTAGAATTGGATAAATCATAAAATATTGCCAAAAATTGATTAACAGGTCGTTTGATTACTTTTTGAGGTTTTTTTCTTCCTAATTTTTTCATAGCAGTGTAGTAATGTTTTTGACTTTCCGTGAGAAACATCTCTAACACACCACCTTCATACTAAAATATAAAAAAATATTAATATTAATCAAGATTCTGCCATTTCTGTATTAATAATTATACCTTCTTTTTAAGCATGTTGAAGTTGTCTATGATGACTCCGATGAATAAATTCAGCGTGAAAAACGCTCCACACACAATAAATATAACAAAATATATGTAAGCATAAAGATTAGCTTCATATTCAGGTTGTAGGTCCACCCCACGAGCATCTACAGCATCGGCCATTACTTCCATCCAACCTTCGAAAGTAGCCTATAAATGTGAAATTCGTGAATATTAATAGATTAAGGATATGTATACTATTAAGCATTTTCATATGCTTTATTCGCTAAAAGTTCAAAGATATGATTATAATTTTTTAATTTCTATAATTATATTCCATACGCCAATTATAATTCGCTGTATTATATTCAATACATGAAAATATTGTATTGCATGAGTATAATTTGAAAAAAATCACTGAACGAATGACTTTACATGAAAATAACATGCGATCAGACATTAAATTAATGTTCAAAGTTTAATCGTATTATGTACGGGAGAACTTACTACTTGGAATAGAGCTAAATATGCAATTCCCACGTTATCAAATGATATTTTAGAATTCAACCACGTATAGTTTTGGAGCATACAGTCACTTCGATTGTTGGTAATCTACAGTAATAGTAAAACAAAACCATGTTAATTTAACAAGTAAATAATTATCAAAGCATTTTTATTTTCAATTCTTACATTTACAGATAATCGTTCTCCATTACTGTCGACACATTTAAAAAACTTTCCACCGAAAAATTGAACTCCCATAATAGAAAATATTAACCAAAACACCAAACATACTAACAGTACGTTAAAAATTGACGGTATTGCGTACATTAAAGCATTTACTACAATCTAAACATGTTAAACTAAAATTAATATTCAAAAATTTTTTTAGTTTTTTTATTGTTGATCAAATAAAATAAATTGCATTTATAATTTTATGTATCACAAGTAGTATTTTTAATCTATAATTTCATAACAAAGATTTTTTTTATTATAAGAAAAAGTAATTAAAGATAATTAACTTTTTTCTCATAAAGTAATATTTTCAAATCGTTTACTTAATATGACATTTATAGCTAATTTTAATTATGAGTGTCTTTAAAATTGATTGTATATTTGTTGAAATTTAATTACCTATGAACTATTCAAACTATTAAAATGTAAAATTTTACCTAATTTATATTTAATATTTAAAATGATATATTGTCTTATCCGCGACATGATTATGGTAATGCTCTATCGTTTAAGTTATTTCTATATAATGTGGACAAAGATAGGCAAGTTAATGGAAATAATTAACTCAATTTAAGTTAAATATGACAATGCCGAAGAATGAACAGTAAATGTTACCAAATTATAAATTTAATTAGCTAAGTTAAAAGATAAGTTGAATTTTTTTTTTTACCTAAGTAGTTTAAAAAAAGTTTATTTAATCTTTTACATTTTTTTTTTTTTTTGCTAAAATCTTTCAAAATCATTTTCTATAGCTCGATAATACAAGAGAAGGCTAAGAATCAATTTTCTATTTTTAAAACTGAATAGGAAGAAAATATTAGTGATTACAAAGATATTTTTAATTCGTTTTGTAAATTTTGGTGTTAGTTGCACTGTTATATTTTTAAAATTAGTTATTAAAAATGATATAAAAATATATATATATTTTATTTGGTTTTTCTAATTTTTAATGAGCAACACTATTACAATTAACCTTCAAGTTCAAAAGTCTCCCCCTGAACAAATTCAGAAAATTATATATATTGTTTTATAAATATACTATTTAGAATAGGGGAAAATTCGATTATTTAAAATTGCTTAAAAAGAAATTTATTTTTTATGAAATTTTGAATTCAGTTTAACAGTTATTTCAATGAAAAAATAAATTATTTACGTTAAAAAGTTAAAAAAAATTAACTTTACTTTTTTAAATAGTTAATACCGACTATTGATTGAATGTATCTAAAATTAAATACATACTCGCATGCCTTGCCATCTAGATATTGCTCTTAAAGGTCTTAATGCTCGTAGAGTTCTTAAAGATCGAAGAACTTTAAGATTTTCATTTTCGTCTATTAGCAGACTAAATATAGACATCTGTAATAATTTATAGTATTTTTATTTAAGCATTAAAATGTTTAAAGGTATTTTTCATTATTTAGTACCAAAGCGATTATAAAATCCAAAGCTGTCCAAAAACTAGTAAAATATTTATGAATTCCTAATGCAATCCATTTTAGGACTAATTCAATTGTGAATATAACACAAAATGTGAAATTAGTCCAATACAAAGCTGTCTTCAAAGTTTTATTTTCGTCTAAATAAATATCTTCAAAACATAATGTCACGCTCGAGGCAAATATTAATACTAATATAAACCATTCAAATATAGGAGTATCAACAATAATTAGAGTTTTTTGACGAAAAGACAACCACCGTTCACCAAACCAAGAGTCTATCCATTCTTGCTTCAATCCAATTCTAAAAATTAGGAATAATTTTTTTTTTTTAATTAGATACATTTAGTTTAAGCTTAAATATTTTTTAAATATATATGATTTTGAAAAAATACAAATTAATACATTCTAATAATTTAAAAAATAATTTACGACATTTAATAAGTACTATTATAAATATATAATTTGTTTGTACATTTTAATAAATCTGTTAAAATAGGATTAAGTTAAATTAAAAAAAAAATTAGTCAATATTAATGAAGCAAATACGTTCTAATACCTTTGATAACAACTATATGGAAAACATTCTGGTGGTTCTTTTGATTGTTTATTCCTTCCAAAGCTTGGAAAGCTTGGCGCAGTATCTACAAAATTTCCTTTGGAATCTCTTCTCCCACCTACAGTTAATTCATCCACATACGACACCAGTGTTATCCATGGCTTTTTTTTAGATTTTTCATCCAATAATTGAGAGCAAGTATTGTTTTTCTGATTCACAAAACATGATTCATCAACTGTATCTGCAATGAAATATTATTCATCAATTTAATTGTAATTTCTATATATTTGATTTACAAAAGTTAAAATTTTTTTTAAACCTTTGCTAGTTTCTTGTCTTGTTGCTAATATATAAGATCTTCGGTGTAAACCAACCGGAGGTGGGCTTATATAATGCTCTGAGAATTCAAAAGTTTCATCTAAAATAGGTAAATCTAAATCTCTGGTCAACGTAGGTGCATAACACATTGCATCTTGCATTATTTGATGGTACAATAGATCATCTGATAAAGATTCTTGTCTACTATATACTGGCGTTGTAAGTACACCTTGGTGATATCCTGTTCAAAAAAAATTGTTTAGATATTACTAGTAATTAACACATAAATTTATAAAAAAAATATGATTTTTTTGTTAATTAATCAGATGTATATTACAAATAATTTTAATAGTTGCATAAAGGAGAAGCATTGCATTTAAACTCGACAATTTTGACAAGGAAAAATGGTAATGATAAAAATATTACAAATTGAGTTGTTTATGCAACAATAATTTTGGATTAGCCAAGTATTCTATTTTTACTAAAATATTTTTATAAATTGTAACATAAAATTATGTATATGGTTGAAAATAACCTGTCATATGTAATGTTTTAAAAATATAAAGAGTACATGTGAACAATAAGAATGCGCAACGAAAAAACGAAATGGTTAACTTTTACTGGCGTCATTTCGATTTTTATATTTAAACGCAGATGAATTATTAAAAGACACTTTATACTAAAAATTTTTCAATGATGACTTTATTTGCTGATAATTATGATAATTTGGAGAAAACAATACCCAATAATCGTGGATTGCTAAGAATTAAAGATGCCTATGCCGCAGCTCCAAAAAACGCTACTAGTTACTTTAATCTCTGATTTTTCTTTTTACATCTTGGTATAATGAAAGACAATATGATATGATATATCATAGATATGATTTATTTATTTTTATTACATACTACACGTCAAAACAATTTATAATTTATGCATTACTTCCATTTATGTCATTTTCGGTTTTATGATAATATTTTAATATTATGTGATGATAGATTTAAAACAAATTTCAAATAATAACTTATATACATACTAGGAGTAAAATATAAAACCATTGTAAAAATATTGTTATGAATGATGCAAATTGCATTTGTAATTTTACCAGCCATAGTACTTTACTGACCAGAATAACACTATATACGTGTAGTATGAGATAAACGCCATGATCACATACAATAATATAGTATTGATAGTACTACCTACTTTTTAAATGTTTACATCATTATTCATAGATTAATAGCCGTATGTTTGACAAGAAACCAACAACATACATTGTGTACAGATGAAAAATGATCCTAAGCCATTGGTCAATACTAAACTAACAATATCTTATTAGAACTCGTATAAATTTTAATAAGCTAAAGTAGAAATACTGTGTTGACAGAATTTTATCGAATGATTCAAAATTATACAGAGATAAAAATATGTATAACTAATAATACCTATTCATAAAAACAATTGACAATAACTGCATGTATTTATCAAGTAAATACGAGATCTTAAAAGTTATAGCTACAGTCCAGATTTATAAATTTTATTTGATTCATATTAAAGAACTCATTTTTATGTAAATTTGCTGTCAGAATATATAGTAGCGTAGAAATATTTTTTGTTTTAGGGGAGATAAACCTCTCTAATCTCCCCAATACTATAACCCCAAATAGAACACAAAACTAAGTTTTCAACCCAATAGATACAAACTTACTAGTGATGTGTTTGGAATAATTTAACAAAATTTAATTTTAACATTGGTTATAAGTTATAGCCAAAATTTTCAAATAAATACTTAACTTTTGTTGGCAGATTTATAATATGTATTAAAATTAATTTAAACGGTAAATGAACAACGTAATAGTATTAATACTATTTAATTTAATCTCTACACTACCCCCGCCATAATGGTTTTATATCTATGCGGCGTCTAGACTTCATAGATCCATTGAAAAATATAATCCTTTATATTAAATATAAATTATATCCTCTAGAATATATTGTCTTCATCAGAGTATACACTTGATTATTTTCCATGAAAATCTACATACTAAATAATTATAAAAGAAACAATAAATATTTTTATATATTTGAATGAAAATACAATGATTAAGTTCATGCTATAAAGTTATATTTTATTTCCAAGGAAATACCAGGTTGATGTAGTTTCCAATTACCGCTTCAATTTATAAGAAAGGCCCTTCAATGAATACAAATTTCAAAAACATAACATGTTCCTATGGGAGTAATTGATACTCGATCTCCAGATCAGATTCATACATCGTGCAATGAATTTATTTACTTTTACTATAAAATTTAGTACAATTCTTGTAGAAAGAGCCACAAACAATTTTTTATTCTTAAACGATATTTATAATAACTCTAATGAACAGAAAAAAAACGTCACCATGACTAATAATACAGAAGTGTCAGTTCAGATATTACTAGAATGGGACAATTTTTTGACTAGTCCATAATTTCACAAAGCAAATGATTCATTTTCAAACAACTCAAACTTATTACAGTTAATATAAAAATTACCATGATGGAACTTCTAAATTTACTTTCTAATTTTCTAAAATTATTTTAACGACAATATATAAATAATTTTCAAAGAAATTTCTATAAAAAAAATATTTAGAATCATAAAGAACATTATATATACAGAATGATTATTGTAATACTAGCTGCAAGATATTCAATTTTGGTATTTTATAGTTTCATATATTATTCAATTTATCAATTATTAAGTATTTTTTAGATTAATTCCATTAGCGTGTTAACTGTAATTAAAAAAAAAAAAACTGATCATTAATAACTACCAAAGTACCTATTCAAAAATTATTATGAATCAGTCATTTTCTTAATCAGATCATTTTCATATTAAAAGGTATTTAAATATGTGTATTATCATTAAAACAANATGAATCAGTCATTTTCTTAATCAGATCATTTTCATATTAAAAGGTATTTAAATATGTGTATTATCATTAAAACAAATACAGTTGACACGCTTATAACGAATAAGAAATTCGTTTAAAAAATACTTAATTAATAAATTAAAAAATATATGAAACTATAAAATACCAGAAATACTTTCATACATTATTATTATTTTAGAAGAAATCGAGTAGCTAGTATTAAAATAATCACTCTATATACTCAATTGTATAAAAAATTCCAATAAAAACTCTATCAGGTGTGATTGTTAGGACCAGAACAAAAGTACGATTTAATTATATAATTATTAAGATATTTATTAGAATTTTGGTAAAAATATTTAACTATTTTGAACTACAATTCAAACATATTGGTATTTATTTTTAAACAAAAACGGGAAGAGAAGTATGAATTAAAAATGTCAAGTGATGACAATAATAAGACCTATATTTTATCCCCAGCCTTAATTTAAAGTAGTTCATAATTTCTGAAATTTAAAAGTTATCATGGAAAAATTATATTCTCATTTCTATATATTTGTAATATATAGAATATTTAATAAATCAGGAAACGGGTTTTTATTGTTTTCATTGTTTATAACAATTGACCTGTTCCTTTACTTACTGAACACCTTGTATATTTTTACATTAAAACATTACAAAGTAATCCATTTTAAGAAGAAGGAAGAGGAGGAATAGAACTTTTTTCTCGAAAATTGTAGATTATTGGATACTTTTATCTCGGCATATTTATTTGATGTAATGCCTGACGGTAGTTTTAGTTTACATAACACCAATCCGCAGGAGAAAGAAGATACTTTTATCTTTAAATTTTTTTGTCTTTATATTTGAAGACATTGTATGAGACAGTCAGCCTACTAATAAACCTGTATATTAAATTTTACAAATAATTTATTCACTTTTGAGTTTGACTAGCATTACTTTAAATATAATTTTTTATTTGAACAATCGTTTATTTTGTGTTATTAAATTATCAGTGTAATTAAAAAAAATTTGTATTGTGGTATAAATAAAACAGCGCTTATGAACAAATAAATATTATTAAATTATAATACAAAGTACAGCAGAAACTAAGATATATAAAATAAACTACCAGTAGAGTTACTTTTCTTTAACACCAATAGTTTCGTTTTTTAAACATCACAATCGTATAATTTACAGACATAAGTTAACGAATTATTTTAATTTATACCTTCATTTTTTAAGTGTCTAGTATCTTTTCAGATAAAAGTATTTTAATAAAATAAATCTATTTTAAAATTTAAATTAAAAATAAAAAGGACGAATCAGGCATAGATTTTTAGATAATAGTTAAATAAATACAACAATCCAGAATCAACCCAATAATAATCTATATATATTACTCGTCTCTGACTATTTATATATTATAATTGTATAAGCCAATTCTAGATTTGAGTTTGCAGTCGTTATGACAATTGTATTAAACAAGTAAATGATTAACTGAGCATCCAATACAACGCAAAATAGTGTGAAATAATTAAAAAGTAAATATCAGTGGGATAAAACTACACAATTATACATTTAATAAAAACAAATTGATTCTATTCGCATTAAATAATAACTTATATTGTTAATAATTTTTGAAATTACCAAATGAATTATTTACCCGATTGAGAAGTTTCCTAAATAAATTAAACAAAAAATATTTTGTTCAAAATCCACCTAACGGAGCCCTCCGGGCACTAGTAAGTGTATTAAAATAAATTAATACAAACGTTAATAATATAATAATAATTTTATTTTTATATAATATGTAATATTATAATGTTATAATATAATAATATAATAATTATAATTATTATAAAATATATTTTATCAATTTTATAATAAACACTTGTTTAGTAGGAGAGACTGGGGCACATTTGATTGTGAGGTAGATTTGAATTGATTAAATAAAACTTTTATTAAGTAAAATTTATGTCCACACAAAATAGAAAAAGTTATCATACTGTAAAATCATTTGATGTGTTTATTTTATATTGACTTAATTTATCACTATAGCTAATTTTATTTAATGAATTAAAATGTACCATAAATTAAAAAATAATAACAATAATATAATAATCACCTGTATCGGATGAATCTTCAGTCATTGCCCTTTGAATTTTTCTTTGATAAGTTTTTTCTTGTTGTTCTAAATAGCCGGCATTTAAAACTAACGACGGTGAACTATTGTTTAAGTCATATTCTACATTTAAATTTGTGTTACTGAAGTCATTTTGATTACTGTAAATAAAATCAAAAATAAGTGTCAAAATTTGTGACTTATTGAATCTAAATATATATATTTTTTTTATTATTTAAAATTAGTTCATTTTTATGTAGTAATTATCATTATCAAATTTTTAAACAATAATTTTTCAATTAATTTTACTTGAAATAAATCCAAATTATTTTAAAAATAAAAATTATTACTGAATGCTACTGATTGTTATTAAAAATATTTATAAATTATTATTTCACCTGATTACTTCATGTTCGAGGTTACATACTACCTCAGAGACATCAATAATTTCCGTTTTTTCTCTTTTATTGTTTTCGTTCTTAATTCGCATTAGTTGCTTAACAGTACTTTCTAGTTTAAAATTTACTGGTGCATCACAGGTAGTAATTTCAGTTTTTGACTGCAGTCTCTTACGTTTTCTTATAATTGAGCGTATACGTTGAAAGCTTCGCTCCAGTTTAGAACCATCACCAACTTCCTGTTAATAAACAAAAATTAATTAATTACCATAAAAGCAAAGAAAATTTTTATTATATTTTGTATATTATTTTAAGATTTAAAAATAACTTGAAAATTCAAAGTAGTGGATACAGAATTAAAATTATATATTATAAGCAATACAAATTAATACACATTCAAAAAAAGCTAATTACACATGTAAACTAAAATTAAGATTTTGCACTACAATGGTATTAAACTACAACCCATTTTTTCTGGATCCACCACTGGCATATAATATCATTTAAAAAAAGCGAAATGTGTCCATAAAAATATAGTGGAGCTTTGTATGTGCAATATAGAAATGTAGTTAGTGATGTGATAGGTAAATTATATTTTTAGTAAATATACTTATGTAATTCTTATACTTAAAACTTGTTTAACCAAAGTAATATTTTAGCTTCGATGCAAAGCTGAGAAGGTATTGGTTTTACTATGATGTGTTTATTTTTTATATCTGTTACCACTTTTTCTCAGCTCTCACCGAATCGATTTCTTTCAATGATACGTCAAAAGATCACAAATCGTATCTAGTCAAAGACATTACCCTCAAAAATTGAAAAAATTTCCCTCGTTCCCCGTAAATTGGGGAAACCTCCAAAAAAATTACAAATTTAAAAATCGCTAAATTTCTAAATTTATTCAATTTTTTTTACTTAAAACTGCCATAATTTTTTTAAAAATGACCAAATAATATAGTTTTTTTTATAGGTGCATAATGTCTTTACCTATCATTTGATATATATTTTTCTAAATCTGACCCTTTACCTGCCCACAGGAGGGGATTTAAAATGACAACCTTTTCACAAAAAATTAACTTTTTTAACTTAATTTTTGAAAGTGTTCTGGAAATACTGTCACTTTTATATACAAATCTTAAATTAAAACTTATGTAATATACTTTATTAAAAAAAATGTCGGACTTTATTATTTCTTCATGTTGAAAATGGCTACTGTATGTAATTTTTATGTTAAAATTCTTGATTTTAATTTTACATTTTTAACTTTATTATGCTATAACTTTTTGAAAAATGTATGGATCAATACAATTTTTTTATGAGAATTAATATTTATATCCCTCTTTCATTCGACATACTTTATCTTAATCAGGATATAAATAAAGAAATAGCAGATCATACTAAGCCACGTCACCACTGTACCGCGACCCACCTGTGCTGGGTTTTTTTTAACTTAAAAATACTTTTCTATATGTTTAAAAAAAATACACACGTTCTTTTAACATATTTTCTTATATTGATTATTATCCTCTTTCTTTCTTGTCTTTATCTCAACTACTTGGAGTCCGTCCGCCTTATCCTAAAATTTCTCTTGACACAATCTCCCACATAATCTAAATACACATAAACCATCCTCATATCGCATTCAATACCATTTCTTCAACTCTTTTTTGATCTTTCTCTACCTCTTCTTCCCTCTACATTCATTTTCATAACTGTTCTATTCATTCTATTCTGTTCATTTTCATACAGCTTTCGATTCCTCACTCCTCATAACATGACCAAATTATCTATTTTCTTTCATCTTTAAAGCTTTACACTTTCACTTCCACATAAAATAATCAATCTGTGATTATCTGTTACTCCCACTCTTAAAAGTTATATAATGTTTTTCCCTCTTTCTAAGATAAGTATTAACCACAGCAGGATCATACAATACTGCTAAATCCAGAATTCTTTCTTCAGCCTCATTCTTTCCACTAAAACCATACACTTCGTGTACTCTCATCTCATTATCGACATGTCCATTCATATCTCCACCTATCACCGCATCCTCATTACCAGGTATTCCTTTCATTACCTCATTCATCTCTCCCCAAAATACTTCCTTGTTTATTTTATCACGTCTTACTAACTAGTGGTACATAGAAAATTACCATAATCAAAACTTTTTCCTCTAAGATTAATTTTACTATAATTCTATCACTTTTTCTAACTACCTCTACTACTTTCCTATTCATCTCCTCATTCATTATTATTCCTATACCAATCCTTGTATTGGTCGTACCTGAGTAAATCATTTTATAACAAATGTTAACTTTTCTCCTCGTTAACACTTCTACTAATTATCTACTTTTACCAGTTGTTTTTCTACATTCTTATATATCTTTCTCTCTTATACACGAATCCAGTCTAGAGTTGAGTGATGATGTCCCTACACCGTTGACCCTTTAAGCGTAGGGTAAGCCTGTAAATATGAGTGATAAAGCAGCTACTGCAAGATGACCAGTTACTTTCAAACACTTTATTCTTTAGGCCTACTTCGTCTCTAACTACTTTATCTCCTTCCACTTGTTATCTCCGCATACATCTGTAATAGGATAAGTTTCTTAACTTAATTAAATATAATTTTATATATTTTTTCACATAATGAAGTAATTAAAATAAGGTAATTGGGAAGTTTTTTGGATGGGTTTGGATGCATGTTTATAACAAGTCTTGGACCTCATAAATTGTACCAACATAATTGATATTCAAAAGATTAAGCATATATTTATAATGAAAAATTCATTAGATAAAAAAGTCAGCTGATATTAAATAATACATTTTTGTTCTATAATTCAGAGAAATATTATCATTGTACTATTGAAGTACAATAGTGACGGCGCAAGTTTTTGCGAAGCCCAGGGCAAAATAAATTACAATTACTATTTACAGGTATATGAGCTTTTATAAATACTACAATTTTTAAAATAATTTATTCCTATACAAAATTAATTGCAATTTTATAAAATTGTAATACATGTTTTAATATCAGTAAATAAAATATGGAAAGTTCAATAATATTACGATTTCAGAACTACATATAATTTTGAACTGCTCCTACTGCCCCTTTTCGGGCCGTCCCTGAAGTACATAATCTATTGCTTACATTATGAAAACGACTACAGTATTGTTTTAATAACAATGGCTAAAATAAGACGATCAATAATGAAAATTTAACTCTGAAAAGATAATTTCAATTATGGTTAGAGTTAGAAATTCAAACGGTGGATGTTTGTAATAACATAAGACCATTTAACTAATGTTAATATTTGTTACATTACACTACCCTAGTGTTATTAATAGGATTACTAACGATGTTCAATTATAACATTCTCAATAGTCAAAATTACACTATATGTGTTTGATTATGCACATGTACAATTTGTTAATAATTTATGCATTCTTAGACTACCTTTAATTTATATGTTTTATTATTTGTTTATAATAATAATAAATTCAATTTTTTAAATTTTTTAACCAAAATAGTCGTTTCTAGGGTTTTCTTACAAAAAAATTGCATGAATCAATAACATTTTTCAGACGAGTATTTATTCAGTTATAAGCATTTTAATACATAGAGTGGGTATGTATACACCAGTACGAGTTGTACTCACAACTTCGTGAACCACTTTATATACTAGAGTATAATACGAATAATTGAATTACTTTTAGAATACTAAAATTAATAAATCCAAACTTTGAATTTATTTAAAAGATAAAAGTTTATATATTTTTAAACATATTTAAGCTATTCTTCTAAATTTTTTAGCTTCGATGCGAAGCGGAGAAGGTATTAATTTTACTATGATGTGTTTTTTTTTTTTTTTTTT